CGACGCTAAGTCGACCGGCGGTCCAGCTCCTCCACGGGTAGCTCAGCCGGACCGACGGATCTAACTTCGGCGAGTCGGTGAGTTTTGCCAGAGATTTTGCGGCCGCCGTGGTCGCGCCGGAGATGGCTGCCATTTTGAAGTTTTCCGGTGGGAAAATCTGATCTGAAACTGGAGCGGTGGGATTGGATAACTGATAAGTGAGATTTTTTCTTTTTCTTTTTCTTTCTTCCTCTCGAGATATATAATTGGGGAAATTGGATCACGCAATGCGTTTGGGGAACACATATTTCTTATCGGATGAGGGCCAATGAAAAAGCCCCACGTCACTGGTTTTGTCATATTATGTGGATTTTCTGAGATGCTGGAGATTATTCTAGAAATACTAATTAAGATATTAGTTTTTTTTAGGGATAATTAAGATATTAGTTAACTATAAAATTACAAATTTATTTCGCCAGCATTGAATATTATGGTTTTCTTTTTCTTTTTGATATCGGTTGGCCAGGTAGTCATCGAAATTTGAATTTATTTTCTCTAATTGTTGAATATTGTGGGTGTATTTAATTTATGTAGATTAAAAATTTTAGGTTAAAGTAATCTCAATTAAATTTAGATTATTTAATTTTTGATATTGTACTCTCAATTTTGTTTAATTGGTCCTATATTTCTAAAAGGACAATTTTGGTCCACCTATTTTTAAAAAATGATCCTTTTAATTTCTATTTGTACAATTATAATGTAAATATTATTTGCAAAAATAAGAAAGCGGGCTTTTTAAATCAAAAAATCGACTTGAAATTTAGTTAAGAAAAAAAAACTAAAAATTAATTTTTTATTTAAAATAAATTTTATTTTTTTCGAATTTCAATTGTATTTTTATTTTTTAAATCAAATTTTGTAATCTTTAACTAAAAAGTTGGGTTTTAAATAAAAAATCAAATTGAGATTTGGTTTTAGAAAAATATTAAAATTTATCTTTCATTTAAAATAAATGTTTATTTTTTTAAGAAAAAATTAAAGGTGGCGTCAAGTAATACACCAAGAGGAACCTTCAAAATGGTCACCCACTCAATAGCAAAATACTAGTTTGAGTATTATTCTTAGAATAAGTTTGTGACTTATTTTCAAAATAAGTTTTAGAAAATGCAATATTAAAAAGAAATGTTAAAAATACTCATTTGATCATTTTATTTTCATTTTGATCTCAACTATTTCTATTATAATTTTTGCATTATACCACCCACTAAATTTCTTAGAGTGGAGCTATAAATTTAGATTTTCAATTTTTCAATGTATATAAAATTTATGTTAAAATTTTACAAATAGAAATTAAATTGGTCATTTTTAAAAGAACAAATATCAAAATTAAGAATACAAAGATTAAAATGAACAAAAATAAAATCACATGATTTTGAAAGTGCAGGACTAAAATAAATGTCTTGAACAAATTTGACCAAAATAGTATTTAAATATAAAAATAAAAGGAAGTATCATGTCAAAAGAATCTCTTAAGTGGGAGTAGAGGAATCTTACCAATTTGAAGAATCCATCGAGATAAAATAGTAAAATATAGGTCTTTTTTTGAAGAATCTATCGAGATAAAATAGTATAGTATAGGTCTTTTTTAGTACAAGTGAGAGTAGAGGAATTCGAACTAACGATCTCTTGATCAAAGATAAATGTTAATTACCACCTAACTAGGCTATGTTGACACATTTAATACTTGTATTTAAATTTACTTTTAAAATTTGATATTTGAATCAAACGTAGCTGCCAAATAGGATCAAGTATATAAATTGGCCCAGATCACTCCCATGCACAGGAATTCTAACTCAAATATCAAACCCAAAAAAAGAAGAGAGAAAAACTTGCCAATTGGGACTAAGTCTCAACTTTTGTAACTTTTCATACAAGGAAAATATGGTAAATCACAGATTTACAATTTGAACAGACTTTTCTAAGTATCTATCAATATATTCTCATTGTTGTGTAATTACACCTATAACATTATGTTTATTGGTGGAGATTATGTTAAAAAAACAAACAATTATTTTTGTCTACTCTCTTGATTATGGCTTACTTGTAATTATCCTTCGTGGAAAGCAGAGAAATCTGGTTCATCTGGCTTGAACAACTTGGGCATTTTCAAGCTGGTGGCATCAGAATCAAGGCCAGACAACTTCTGGGCAATCCCTTTTCTGGTAGTTGCTGCAAACTTTGAAGCCAACATTGTGACTCCAAGATTTTGGGGCTTGCTCACACTTCCATTTTTGGAGCCACTGGTTTCACCATCTCCTTCGCCTTCCATTTCACTTCCATGGCTCTGGTCTTGGTCCATGATGGTTGTGTAATAAAGTTCCTCTTGTCTTGCCAACTCCATGGCCAGCTTTCTTTTCACATATCTTCTCCAAGCAGCCTGCATGAAGCAAGCTCCCCATGTCCTCCATTGGTGGGAGTAGTATCTGAAAGCGTGTTGGAGTTTCTTGCTGTGGAGGCGCTTGAACTGGCTGGCTACAAACTTGAGATCCTCAGCTTGGAGCGCGAACGCCTCGACTTCGGTGAGGGACTTCACAGTTCGAGTCGAGGACGGGAAGCTTAGGCTTGGGGATGGGACTAAGGCCCATGTTAGGAGCTCCTCACCGCAGAAGTCGCCCGGTCTCAGGGTGATGGAGTTGAAGAATCCTGACCTGCCCCCATTGGTGGTGGAGCTCTCAAGCTGCCCTCTGATGATGAAATGCATCTCATTTACAGGATCTCCTTCCCTCACTATATACGTGTCTTTAGTATTCAAGGATGAAACGAGACGTTCGCATATGGCGTCCAATAGCTGTGCATCCATTTGTGCAAAAAAGGGAACCTGAGAAGCAAAAGAAACAGAACATTCTTCTGAATATGAGTGTTACTGGAATTTTAAACTGAAACTGAATATGGAGGAATCTGTTACTGTTAGTGTCCTAACAGAAACCGAATAATAAGACAGATACTTTGCAAGAGGACTTACACGGCGAACAAGCGCAAGAGAGAGATGTCTCTGAATTTGACGTCGAAGGTCCAAAGGTAGATTGCGCAAGATCGATTCTTCATCGACACCTCGAGTCGCAATCCATTTATATTGAACGAATCGACGAACGCGCTCTTGCAAATGAACGGGTAACTGTCGACGCCTCATCCATTCCTCTGTGTCTCTTCGTTTTATTCTCCACTCCTCAAGTCTAGCAGATGTAGATTGCAGATAACTCTTCAAGAGAACACAAACAAATAAGATAGTTACATTTTCATACCTCATCTGCCCCCACTCTTTCCTTTGTACTAAAAAAAACCTCTCTGCAATTTTCATTTTCAGATGTCACACCTGCACTTGGCCTATGAGGTGTGAGAACAGAACCAACCCCGTTGTGCAAATCAAAATGCTAAATAAAACTTCACCCATGTAAGTGCTTGTCGTTAAATTTTGTCCATATGCACTACAGAAAAAGAAAATTAAAAAAAGGAATAAAAAGTTCATAAGTATGACAAATTTATGCCTTCTCTTCTAAGTTAATGATGTAATAATAAACTAGTGTTTGGACAGAGACAAAGACCTAAGCAGTATCAATTTAAGCATACATCAGTCTCAATAATATTGCAGCTGTTGGGAGGGTTTGTCTATTCGAAATGGTCAACAACACTTGATTTCTTAATTCAAACATAGTTTATGAAGAAAACACTCTTTTAGCAGATATTCTATTGTCTGCATATTAGGATCTGCACGAAGATTATCATGCATATAATCTCAATTTGTCCAAGTTAAACTATTGGCTCCTCGATATATATTTTTATATTTGTGAGTGTCTAGGCCAATTTTCACCACAACTCAATTAATCTCTCACCGGACAACTATATGACCCTACAACATTTAGGTGACAAGGAAAGTTGAAGAATTTTAAATGGTAAGTAGGTGAGGACCAAAGTATGATGAAATCTTTTTCTCTGAACTCTTTTAACTTTTTCACTAGTCCTAATAACCAAACCACCGGGCCATGGTGGTTCTTCAGTAAACATCATTGAATATCGATATAACTGAATGAATACTCAAACGTTAGTTTCAGAATACAGATCAAGAAGTAAGAAAGAAAAATTTGCATAATGGAACAAACGTACCTCAAACTCTTCAAGCCCCACCAAAGGCAGTAGAAGTACTTTTCGAAAAATTTGGAAGAAGCAACTTCATCAGTAAATGCATCAGCAAACATCCCAAACTCGAAATTCTTGTCATTATTAAAGGCATCGCAGTTTATAAGAACATGAGTAACTTTTAGCCAAGCACGTCGTTCGGGCTGCTCCAAACTATCACAGTCCAGAAAAAGAGGACTGCAAGAAGGAGAACGAGTGGCATTCATCTCCTTTCTACACTCGAGTTTCCAGCACTCATCCTGGCGCTGAATTGACGCCACATACCATGCAGCTCCTATAACCTGCACTGACAAAATGAAACAATAGTAAGAAGTGAACTACAGAGGCGTGAACAGATTAAGAGAGTTTAGATTAGGTGAAAGGGGAAGTACATGGCTAGCAAGCAAATAAAGGAGGAGATTATAAGCAGCACCAGCCCAAGCAGTTTTGGCAATTGCTCCAGTGGTTTTATTGATCTGTCGGTTCAGAGGAAATATAACAAACAGGCGGGGGGCATACTGAATTAACACAATCAGAGCAAGAGTGTGGTTCGCATGAGTCGCTGTTGGGTTCTTTAGTGCTGGAATTACGAACCATATCACAAACTGCCATATTAAACACCATATTATATTTATTTACAACTTTATTGAGGAAAAAAACAAGCATGTGAATGAATAAATTCTACACTAAGTTCAACAGTGTGAGTTTCAGTATATGATCTGTACATGCGAATAACCAAAAACATCTGCAAATTTTGTTTCAAGTTTCTAAACTTAAGGTACATTCATTCCCTCTAATGTAAAAATCTCTTTTCCACACTCTTGCACAAAATCAGATGGGTCAATGCTCATGAATTTCAAAAGATCAAGCTCTATGTTGTATTTCTCTAAAATCCCATCAATTTCGTATCAGGAATTTTTTTCAACTATACTTCAAACAAATGCATATATATGATCGATTCTGTTCCCGCCTACCTAATTAGTCCTAAATTCTGGGGGTAAGAAAGCGGAAACATTAGCGAAACCCTAAAACCGTAATTGGATTAATTAATTAGGAATTTCACCTGCGGCATGGGAAGCGTAGCGGCAAGATCGATAACAAAATCCTTCTTGAGGTATCGCACAGCAATGGCCTTAGGGTCCATGACGAGCTCACCGCAGCCGAAAACCCTGGAATTGGGGGCGACGAAAGCGGTGCGGAACTTCATGAGAATGTGAAAGAGGGAGAACAAATCGACGATGGTGCGGAAGAAAGTGACGATGATTGCGAGTTCGATGTGGAAGCGCATACAGCCGGGGCCGCCGATGATGGTGAGGTAGAAGTAGAGAGGATCGACGAAGAGCGAGATCAAACAGGTGACGAGGAAGATTCCGTTCCATCGGATCACGAAATCGGAGTCTGGTTTCAGGATGTGATCCCACCATGGCACCTTCTGGTACAAGGCCAACGATTTCTGAAGACCGCCCAAGCGAGAGTACGCGATGTTATGCATTTTTCATTGGAGAAGAAACCACAACCCACGGCCCAAGATAATTTAGGGCCCAAGCCCAATTTTTTTAAGGGCCTAGATACAAATATTAATGCATTAAATTTTAATAATCTAATTTCATTCAAATATATATTTTATTGATTTCAAACTACAATTTAATTACTTTTAGTTTCGAAGATCTTTTTTTTTCAAATATCATTAATTTTAATAATATTTTATAGTCATTATACAACCTATTATTGTTAAAAATAATTCATAAGCCGAAAAAGATAAAAAAAAAGTTTTGTTTACTAGTCCTAGTGAATAAGATAAATGAATGAATGTTTGGTAATATATCGAAGATTGAGTCGGTCGAAGACAATGGACATGAACTCAATTTACTATTTTAGTTTTTCTTTTTATTTTTTTATGAATTTATGTATTGTACACGTCTAAGACAATTTATGATGTGAATAGAAAAGAGAACGACTTCTAGAATCGTGAGACCTTACGATCAGCTCATTCGTCTATACTTTGAACTAATGCTTAAAAGCAAACCTATTAGAATTGGTTAGAATTGGAAAGAAAATGGGCAAAAAGAGATATCAATGGTGAAAGTTTATTTTAAACCAGACAGAAGAAGAAAAGAGAAGATTGACCGATAGAAAACAAGAGGTGAGAGCTTCATTTTGCCCTCTTATTTTCCCTTCGAAGAGGGTGTATCATAGCTAGACAAACATTTATTATCATTTTAAAAACATGGTTCCAACGTAGCAATATTCTACATCTTTATAGAAATAGGAGTTAATAGTTTGGAAATGATCTAACCTGATATTTTCAAATGGGATTGGAATTGCTTGTTTGTTTGCTCCAATTTTCCCTCTTCGTAGCAAAAATTCATCTCGAAATTGTCAGAGTTGGGATTCAAAGAAAATGGGTGAATGGAGAGGAAAATTCTCCAAGTGTTGTAATGTTTGAGAAAGATGTCCATATATTCTTCCTGAGTTGCGTGTTTTCAGCTTTATTTGTTTGAAATTGATGGCCTAGATTTTTCATCTTCATCCGATTTAAACGGGTAATAAAGAAAAATACAATAATTCTTTAATATTTTTTTTTCTTTATTCAGAAAAATAGAAATCTTAAAGACAAACATATGTATTTCGGATCTGGAATGGATCAGACCATCTGATTTGAACGAAGATCCGGGTGAGCTACGGCGAGGAGGTGGACGGTGGGCCCAATCGGTGCCGAGGAGGTAGTCGGTGCTCTTCCCGTCCCGGATCATATTCCGGTGCGTCCACAGAAGAGGAAATCGCAATGCATCTTGYTCAGCAGGCGTAGCTTGGAGTGAGAGTGTAGCGTGGGTAAGGTAAGGAGGCCGCCAGAGAGGAAGCCAAACCGGCCTATTAAGCGCAGCTAAGCTAATATGCGCCGGAGAAAGCCAGGTGTCGGAGGTAATCCCATTGTATTCGAGGAGTCAAGGATTTGCTGGGAATTCCAGATCGAAGAAGAGGCAGATCTTTTTCTCTTTCAGGTATATTTCTTGGTTTCAATAGGACTCCTTACTATTAGATAAAAATAATAAAGTTATTAATGACTGGACGAAACCAAGAAAGAACCCCTCACGTGCGAAATGAGAGAAGATCCCCTTACAACAATAAGGATCAAACAATTCCATCGAATTGAGTATGATTGTAAGTTCGCCAGAGGAGAAGAAGATTCATAAGATCAACGTTTACATTTGGTTACAAATACAAATCGATGTTCATTCATTTATAATTATGTGGTAAATCATTATCACTAGGTCTAAAGCGAGCGTAGTTTAGCGTTAATTGATATAAATCTCCAACTAAAAGATTGTGAATTCGATCTCTACCTCCACATGTTTAGTAGAAAAAAAAATCATCACTGGACATAAATATGGTAACGATAGGCACTAATTGATATTCATATCTAAACTTCATTTTATAACAAAATACAAGTATTTTCCATCCTTTTCAAGACTTTTTTATTCTTTAAACCTAATTTGTACATTATCATTCTTAGATTTAATAGCCAAAGTCAGCATACCCAGCAGTAATTGACATATATCTTAAACTAAGAGATTGTGAATTCGATCCCTACTCCACATGTTGTACTCCACATGTTGTACTGAAAAAAAAATCATAGTTTTAATAAGTTCACGTCCATAAATATACATGTATGTATGTATATGAGAAAATATCCAAATCATGCAAAATTTTAATCTAGAAAAATAATAATAAATAAACAAAATAATAAACTCATCTATAATACTAATTTAAATATTTATTATATTCCATTATTTCAAGAAAAAAAGTTATTCCGAAGTTTAACGTAATGCAACCAAAAATTTTAAATTATATTTGGGATACAACAAAGATCGATGAGTCAAAAGAGCCACGATTTTGAAGAGGATTCCATATTGAAAAGAAAATAAAATTTACAATGGTTTATAATAGACATGAGCTGCTACTCCCACTCCGAATTGGTTTTGAAACCAAGTTTACTGTACATAAATAAAAAATAGATTTTTTAAAATTTTTTTAATTATATATTTATTTGTTTTTAATTATATGTTTTTAACAAAATTATTTCTTCTTTCTATCACATGGAATGGGAGATGAGAAGATCACAGCTTTACCTAATTTTTTGTATTCATTTTACTGCCACTGCATTTCTATTGTGGTCATCCACGAAATAATGCATTTTATAAGGAAGACAGACAATAAATTAAAACTAATCATAATAATTTATTTTTTATTTTTAATATCTACCACCTAATATTTGCCCAGACAGTACTTGCAATACAGTTCTATGTCAATATGTTCATATGTTAAAAAATTAATAGCAAAATAGTGGCGATTACCAACATTGGGAAAAATTTATAATACTCTCGTTTTTTAAGCACTCCGTTTATTTCAACTATAATATTCATTCATAAATCACTCTTTAATATTATCTTTAATATCTTTCTTTTCTTTTGATAACCACTCTTTAATTTTTTTTCCAATTTAGCATAAATTTAACCTCTTTTTTCTTTTAAAAAATTCATAACGTGGACTTATTTGTCCACATTGTTCATGGTATTAAAAATTTAAACACACATACTTATAAAATCATTACCATGTAGTAACAAATTACCTGCATCAAATTACTACACTATTATAGGAAAACAAATTCAGTAGATTAATAGCATCATTTAATAATAACATTAAGTAGTTGACGCTGTAAACAATATATACACATAAAATCCAAAATATTTTGTTAAAATACCTTATTTTGGGAAAATTTTGTCCGACTTTCGTTTTCATTACATTTGTTTTTTTCTCCTTCCCTCTTTTAAACAAGAGTTGGAATCGAATATATAAAGGAAAAAAAAAAGAGATTAAAAAAAAAAAGAAAAAAAGGAAAAATTCTTGTGGAGTGTTTGATTGGACACGCGCGAGTACTGGCAGTGCTGCCCATTCGCCACTGTACCGTCGATGAAGATGAAGATGAAGATGATGCGCTTCCACAGACTTTCTCGCCCTCTCTCTCTCCTCCCTCTCCCTCTCTCTCTAGAGAGAGAAATCCAGAGTCTCCAGTTGGGCACTCGGAAAAATGACGGTGCTTTCTGGAGCTGACACCTGTCCGATTTCCGTGCTCCTTAATACTTGGCAGTTGGCTTCTGTTTTTCATTATTTTTCTTTTCGGTCTTATTAAAATTTAAAATGAAATACATTTTCATGTTATTAAATATCTAATTGTTTAATTTTGGTTTACGTTGACTACATTATCCAATAAAAAGAAAAGGGAAACCACAGAAAGCAAAGCCATGTGATATGTAATTTAAGTAATAATAAAAATTTTATAGTATTAAATAGAGGGATCTCATCAAGTTGATCTAAATGATATAATAATTTGTAAATTTAAGCATATGTTAACTCGTCCTATCACATATATATTTTTTTATCAACAAATTGATGTTCTAATCTTCATTTCACTTGTTGTCGGACTAAAAAATGCAATATATTAATTTCATAAATATATATTTCTAACTATATAATTAATTATAATTTATCTCATACTCCTCCGTTGGAGATGATTAGATTTCAATTTACGCCTACGGATCTTGCAGCTCTGGTTCCCTGGGTCATGGTCCAATTCTCAAGTGGATGGAATCTCTGCTCATTTTTCAAATTTATAGAGTACCAAGAAAAGGAGGGAGGAGGGAGAAATAGAAGAGTGAAGGGAAAAAAATGTCACGCATCATGTGTCAACTGACAAATGTCACATCAACATTTCGTTAGTGACACTAAGAGAAGTTTGACTCCAATAATCTTTTARAATTATTTTTTAAAATTCAAGAGTCAAACRGTAAGTTTTTTAAACTTAGAGATCAAATAGAAAGATGTACACCGACCAAAATTTTATTTTATCCTAGTTTTTATTTTTTAAAAAATGGATCAAGGTAAATTCTAAAGAATTTAGGGGATCACCTCTATATATTTTTTTTTAATTTTCCTTTTATACACAATTGGGGTGGTGAATTGGGTAAAGCTTAGTAATGCCATCTAGATAGGCCCAATGCTTAAAAGCCCACGTTGAGATGGGCCTTTTTAGGTCTTAGTCTCTCTCTTGTCTTAACAAATTTGAACATATGGATAAATATGTAGGGATGAAATGAGAAGAAAAAAAAAATCCAGTACAAAATATAGCATAAGCTCAATATTGCATAAATAATAATTTTAAAAGATGATTGAAAATATAGTATAAACTAAAATGTATTTTGTTACGATTATATTAAAWTATCCAAAGTCAATTTCAACTATGTACATCAACAATTATTTCYAAAATCATGTTAACCAGCGATTAATGAAATTGTAACGAAAAGAAAAACTATATTGCCAGTAAGTCTTGAAAAATGAGGCACTACCTGAAATTAGTCAAATAACTAATATTATTGTAGGTGTATTTTTTGAGGATTATAAATAATGAAAATAACCCTTGATTTCGACCTACTATATAAATGAAGTCATTTGAATTTTTATTTAAATTGACTTGTAATAAGGTCGGGTTATTGAAAGTTTGCTCCGCGGCAATTTGTTGTTCTTTTGTATTTTTTTTCATACAACATTTTCTTTTTCTAATTATTGTTGAAAAAGATATAGATTATACTTTAGCTAAGACGAAATAACTGAGGCCAGATTTGACAACGTCCTTGTTTCTTCTTAGAAAAACAAAACAAGGTTTGATAACTATTTTTTGTTCTTTATTCGTCCTTTTTCTATTGAAAATAGAAGCGGAAATATATTTAGTACTCATTGTAGATTAAAAAAATAAGTGTTATATGAAATTTAAATTTTCAAATTATAAATTCAAATTTTTTATGTTATATTTATTTTTTTATATAAATAATTCATCTTAGAAATAAAAAATGATAAAATTTTTATGTATCTAAAAAAATTGGAAAAAAAAACAGAGATAGAAACACTACCAAATGGGTCTTAAAATATTAATTCAGTTTCAAGTTTTTTATTCTCTTTCCGTTTGTTTTTCATATGTAGATTGAAATAATTAAACATTTATTATAATACTTTGAATTTGGCCCCTATATCCTACAACTACAATGTGTAGGTTGCCTATGCTATTGCCTATACTTGTAGGGCAGGGCCAAATTCACATGACAAAATTAAAAAAAAAAGATGTATATTGAATTTTAAAATACTTAGAATTATATATATATATATATATATATATATAAAAGTTTTTCAATTTTGTTCCTAATGTTTAATTTCTTTTTAAATTTTATCATGCATTAATTTTTTTTAATGGTCTACTTTCTGTATAACAAATAAATTAATCGATTCGATGAAGTTATATACTATATGCTAAGTCATATATTAATGTAGGCATATTTATCTTAAACAAAAAATAGAGAATTTATAACTCTCTGATCAATAGGAAGAAGAAGAAAAAAAAAAAACTTATGATGAACATCTATTTGAATCGATCATAAAATGTATTTTAAATACGTTTCATCATTTTNCGCTGCAGCGCCACTATCCACTCCCTCCCATTCCCTCATGGCCTCATCTAGGTTCCGCAACCTCGTTCCTCTGAACGCGATCGTCTCTGAGGATGGCGGTGGCGGAGGCGGAGGTTCTAATGGCTCCGTTTCCTCTTCATCAGCTTCAGTTCCCACTGAAGACGACGGTACTGGAAATTGGAAAAGAGTTATATATTGAGTAATGTTTTTGATGGTTTTGCATGTTCTTATTCGTCTTCTGGCGGTCCAGCTGCGATTGTTTGTTTAATAATTTACTTGGTTTGAAAATGTTTGGTTGGATTGGTCAAGGAATAAAGAATGATTTGGAGTTGGGTTGGGTTTAATTTTTCTATTATCATATTTGCTTGTCAACTTGATGTCCGGAATGCGTATATATATCCAAGAGTTTGTGAATTGAATTGGGTTATGTTACTATTCTATGACGTACCTGCGTGATGCGTTGACTACTCTTGTGATTTATTTTATTTATGTTATTTGTTGGTATGGTATCAATGAAGTAAATTACATGTGTTTCGTTACGTTTTTTTTCTTCTAGAAGCAATTTCCTCTTTCACTGTCTTTGCCACTATAGAATATATATTTATATTCCGCGAGTTACTTGTATTAGGAAGTGCTTAGTTCAAATTCAGTATCTGTGGTATTGCTTTTTATTTCTTTCTTCATTTTTTTTGACCCGGGATTTTTGAGCTCTGTAATGTAACTAAGTTTGTTTGTGGCTTGCCTACGGAAATCAAATCCCTAAACAACATTGCTCAAACTGTTATTTGATGTTTGTCGATGGTGTTTCTGACTCATGATATTTTTATACAGAAAGTTTAGTATTGGGGGTTGGGTACCGTCTTCCTCCCTCTGAAATCAGGGACATCGTTGATGCTCCACCGCTTCCCATATTGTCATTCTCGCCATATAGGGACAAAATATTGTTCCTCAAGCGAAGGTCATTGCCTCCACTATCAGAACTAGCAAAGCCAGAAGAAAAGCTGGCTGGCATTCGTATCGATGGACAGTGCAATTGCAGAAGTCGGATGTCATTCTACACCGGAATAGGGATTCATCAGTTGATGCCTGATGATTCCCTAGGTCCAGAGAAGGAGGTATATGGCTTACCGGATGGTGCTAAGATCAATTTCATTACCTGGTCACCTGATGGCCGTCATTTATCTTTCAGTGTGCGAGTTGATGAGGAAGATGGCAGTAGCGGTAAGCTTAGAGTTTGGGTTGCTGATGTGGAAACTGGGAAAGCTAGACCTCTGTTTCAGAATACAGACATCTATGTAAATGCAGTTTTTGAGAATTTTGTTTGGGTAGATGATTCTACTTTGTTAGTTTGCACCATTCCCTCCTCTCGTGGAGATCCGCCAAGAAAACCTTTGGTTCCTTATGGTCCAAAAATTCAATCTAATGAGCAGAAGACCATTATTCAAGCTAGAACCTTTCAGGATCTGCTAAAGGACAAATATGATGAAGATTTGTTCGACTACTACGCCACTACCCAGCTTGTTTTGGGTTCATTGGATGGAACGGTTAAGGAGTTTGGCACACCAGCTATATACACATCGCTGGACCCTTCCCCTGATCACAGACATCTCTTAGTTACTTCCATTCATAGGCCTTATTCTTTTATTGTTCCATGTGGAAGATTCCCTAAAAGGGTAGCTGTGTGGACAACTAATGGAAAATTTGTTAGGGAGCTCTGTGATTTGCCGCTTGCTGAGGATATACCCATTGCATTCAACAGTGTAAGAAAGGGGATCCGTTCCGTCAGTTGGAGAGCAGATAAGCCATCGACACTCTACTGGTGTGCATTTCAGTTCCTAAAAACAAACTTTACTGCTCTTTCCATATTCATGGACATCCCCTTTCTTTTTCTTTTATTATTATTATTTTAAAATTTTTAAAAATGTATGTTATATGTCATCATGTAAGGAAGATAATTCGTTTGTGCTTACTATTTTCATTTGTCTTAATGTGCACTTTGTCAAAATTTTTAGGGTGGAAACTCAAGATGATGGAGACGCCAGAATAGAGGTTTCTCCTCGTGATATTGTTTATACACAATCTGCTGAACCTCCAGAAGGTGAACAGCCAGAGATATTACACAAACTTGATCTTCGTTATGGGTATGTTTTTCCTTCCTCCCTCTGTTATTTATTTTGGTCATTACTTTAGATAGCCGCTTAGAAAGTTGAGTGTGGCCTTTTACTATTACACTGTTCAACTTTAGCAGTCCTTAGTTTATTTGTATTTCAATCATGTATTCGGTTAAACATGTTTCCTGAATCCTGAAGATACAGTAACCTGAAGATGTCTGCAAAGACTGATAGTATATTCAAGGTGGAAAGTGGTCCACCTTCGGGAATTCATATCATTCATGGTCTTGCCTATGCTTATCCGTATTAACTGTCTTATCACATAATTTTTATTGTCTCTAAAATATTTCTTTTCAACTTCTGCTCCAATTACTCCTATATCTTGCCATATCATGCTCCATGAATTTCTTTAGTTAGAGGTTGCCTGCTGTATCTACCAGAAAATTATATAGATTAATTTCAGTTTTGAGTTGCTTTTACAGATCTGCTCAATCAATTGGTCAACCTCGAAACTTCGTTTTAATATGTTTGTCCTGTTTATTGCTGCAGGGGCGTATCTTGGTGTGATGATTCACTGGCTCTTGTTTATGAATCTTGGTACAAGACGCGCAAAATACGAACTTGGGTAATCTCGCCTGGATCTAAAGATGACACTCCTCGCGTTCTATTTGATAGGTCATCAGAAGATGTGTATTCAGACCCTGGCTCACCAATGCAGCGGAGGACTCCTCTTGGGACTTATATAATTGCAAAGTTAAGGAAGGAAAATGATGAAGGCACATATGTTCTACTAAATGGTAGTGGTGCTACCCCAGAAGGGAATATCCCTTTCATTGATTTATTTGACATGTAAGTGTGTTAATTTAATCATCTCTTGTTTAGTCCTTGTTAGCGCTATTAATGCAACACTGGTTCTGAAAATATTCCTTCAGAAAAACAGGCAGCAAAGAAAGAATATGGAAGAGCGATAAAGAGACGTATTATGAAAGTGTTGTAGCTTTAATGTCCGACGAGAAAGAAGGAGATTTAAATATTGATCAGCTGAAATTTTTGGTTTCCAAAGAATCCAAAACTGAAAATACCCAGTACTACATACTGAGGTGGCCTGATAAGAAAGCTACTCAAATTACCAAATTTCCTCATCCATATCCACAGCTGGCATCACTGCAGAAAGAGATGATCAGATACGAGAGAAAAGATGGAGTTCAATTGACAGCAACACTATATCTGCCACCAAACTATGACCCAGCAAAAGAAGGCCCTCTTCCCTGCTTGATCTGGTCTTACCCTGGGGAGTTCAAAAGCAAAGATGCAGCTGGACAAGTTCGTGGTTCCCCTAATGAGTTTGCAAGTATAGGTCCAACTTCTGCTCTTCTATGGTTGGCTTGCAGGTAGAATTGCCTCTTCAAGGTTATCGCTTTTACATTTTTTCAGGGTCATAGTCTATTTTGTTCTGAATATAGTTCTTCAAGTCTTTCAGGTTTGCTATTTTAGCTGGACCAACAATACCTATCATTGGTGAAGGTGACGAGGAGGCAAATGATAGGTAATTGGTAGCATATTTACTATAAACTTGGTTCCTTTTCCCTGTTCCTTCCCAATTATGTAGTTTGTTCCAGGAAGTTTACATTGTCTTTGTCATATATTTTATGACGTTTTATGCAAAAACAAAAGAATGCACCTGAATTTAAATCTGGAAAGCAGGCTGCAATGTGTAGGTTCTATTCTAGGATGTTTTGATGTGTACATAGGTTCATTAAGTTGTGTCTAACCATAGTAAGAAGGTAATACTAGAAATGAGTTTTACATAGTTAAGAAATATATAATAAATTAAATCGGATTATCAAGCTCCTTCTTTAAGGGGGTTTAGTATATGTTGAGATCATTAACCACAAATTAGATCTGTTGTATAAGCTGTTTTACATATGCTCAGAATCATGTCTACATACATGCAGTATGAGTGTCTCACAATAAAAATAGGCACACGCACTTATTGCAATATTGGGATATGAAAAGAATGATATAGATTCGTTCTCAAAATAGGTTATAGACTAATGGACTTTGAGCAACACTTTTTATTACTATTCTTTTGATAACCGGGAGTTGGAGCTTTGCTCCCCTATAACCAGGAGCACCCACGCCTGCCCCAAGGCTTGGACCTAACACTTATTATTACTATTATTTTCCTTCTCACGCTCCTTCTAGAGTATCTTGCAATGTATGTAGCAATTTAGGCCTTTCTCTTTACCCTAGTCCGTTGAAGCTGAAGCTTTAAATAATAGCTTTATAAGGTTTTACTTATATATTTTTGTCTATGTCTTACTCATTTAAATATTTTTATTCGATGCTTTCTAAATCATACATATTTTACTAGATATGTAGAGCAATTGGTTGCAAGTGCACAGGCTGCTGTAGAGGAGGTCATTAGACGGGGGGTGAGTGTCGTGTTTTCGTTATTAATATTTTCTTGGTGTATAAAGTAGTTAACCATGTTGATGTGCCACCATGACTAGGTCGCTCATCCAAATAAGATTGCCATTGGTGGACATTCATATGGTGCATTTATGACTGCAAACCTTCTGGCTCATGCTCCTCATCTTTTTTGCTGTGGAATTGCTCGCTCCGGTGCCTATAACAGAACACTGACCCCTTTTGGATTTCAGGTACTTCCATTTCTGAACGCTCAAATTCCCTCTACACATTGATGATACGAAAGTTAATTGGCTAAATTTCCCATGCTTAAAAGTTTTCCAGCCTTTCCACACGTTTCTCCTACTCTACCTATTATTTGTTCTGCTCACCTGACGAGTTATACTTTATATTCATAGAATGAGGATAGAACTCTTTGGGAGGCAACCAAGACATACGTAGAGATGAGTCCATTTATATCAGCAAATAAAATCAAGAAGCCAATTTTACTCATCCATGGTGAAGAAGACAACAACCCAGGAACTTTACCCATGCAGGTATGGTTTGAATTTTTAACTGTTTGGTTTTGTTTCCATGTAGGCTCTTTTCACCCATAAATGATCAAATAACCGTCTGTAAAAAATTTCCTTCTCTTGTTCGTTTCCCTCTGCTGAGGTTCAAGCACTATAATGCTACAGTTTCATTCTTAATTTGCTTGGTTTCTACTCATCATGCTTGTGCATGCATTGCAGTCCGATCGGTTTTTCAATGCCTTGAAAGGTCATGGAGCATTATGTCGCCTTGTGGTTCTTCCGTTTGAGAGCCATGGCTATACTTCACGAGAGAGTATCATGCACGTCCTCTGGGAAACTGATAGATGGCTGCAGAAATATTGTTCCTCTAACTCTTCTGATGTAGGTCAAGATGTGGATAAAAGCAAAGAGGAAGGTAATGGAGCAGCAGATTCTAAAGGGAAAGTTGTTTCAGGTTCCGGAGGTGGTGGCACAGAGAGTTCAAATCGTGATAATGATGGATTTTACTCTATTCAAAGATCATTATTGTGGTAATTCCTTCACTTCGAATTGCTGAAGTACATTAAAAAACTATTTAAACCTAGAGCTGTAAAACAGACAGAAAAGACAGCAAAAATAATTTCTCTACCATGTGTGCTTGGCTTCACTTTCTCTAAAAGGGCTGCAGTTCTTAATGCTTGCTTCTGAGTGTCTTTCTCTAGTTCTTCTGTTATCTTGATTAGGGTGTGAACTGTGAGGTTCAATATAACCATGACTATGAACTCATTATACAAACCATAAATTCTTTCTGGTAAAAATTTTCATTAGAGCAAGGTCTTGCAAAGAGATTTTATCAGAGCGTGAATTAAAGAACATGCATGCTGGACGTACATACACGTCGGGTCATTTGTGGCAGAAGAGTAAGCTACAAATTAGTTGTTTCTAATGCCTTTGATTTAACACAGCTCTACGTTTTCAAGGCAGGAGTTGGAGGTTAAGATGATGAACTGGTCACTATCTATACTTTTACTAGACTATGAATAAGTGATAATATAGACTTTTTGCTGCAAAAGTTAGCTCTCTTCTACCATTTTATTGCAAATGGAGAGCTCCTGCATCTAGATATACAACACATCAATGTTTCCCTGTGCAAGGTTCTACGTCTAATTCTCTTATGATATCATTACCTATTACTATAACCTCTTCGAACGTTTCATTTGTCGTGTAGATTTCTTGTGGATATTTTGCAGCCAAGAGGTGAAGTGGAGATTCGAATTGTAAGATAAGAAGCACGGATGACGATCCTCCGAAGAAACAGATCCATGCCTCTGAAGTGCATCATTCAGGATTGAAATAAAGAGTGGCATTTGATAAGCAAATTTCACCATTTTTTCTATATTGCAAGGACGCATAATTCTGAAATCATGGTCTGCTTGCTGTTTATGTAATTCATTGTGGCTATTGAGCAAATTTGTACGCCAAGAAAACTTGAATCTTCATTTTTCCCATAAAGGAATAAGGTCAAATTAGATGCTAATGTACTTCAAAAATGGTATATACAAAAAGATTGTGCATAGTAAATGAAATGAAAAATGTTGTCCCTGTCTTTAATTTTCACTAGTGAAAGTTATTTATGAAATGATTGATTATAAAAGCCATCACTGACATCGTAAAACTCATATATGAAAAAAAGTATGTAAAACATTAGTATATAATCCACTCGCAGTCTCCTATGTATATTTTTATTTTATTATAATTATTACAAATAAACTGAACTGTAATTTAGAAAGTATAAATGATTAAAAAAATTGTATAATTGAATAGAATTTAATAAAAACGAAGAATATGATTTCACACACCAAGTGAATATTGGGAAAACGATCACCATATTCTCCACCTCTATAAAAACTAGATGAAGAGAATTTTTTTTATCGGAAATATATACTTTAACCACTTAGCTATGTTCAAGTTGACAATAATACAAATGAATATCATTTCAAATTTCACACCTATGAAAAGATACAAAGTGTTACTTATTTGCTGGAAGAATCACCCAAGTGTTGGATTGTTTATTCCTCACCATTTCAATGCATGTCAAGTACTTTAGTTAAACTTTAATTTGTAAATTTATAGTGATTTAATCTATGTACTTTAATCCTTGAACTTTGGTACATACCTACTATTAACAACAACTAGTCCATTTCCTAATCTATATATATATATAAGAAATCTAAATTTTTATCAAATATATATATATAAGAAATCTAAATTTTTATCAAAAATTATAGGAGCTAAATCATTACAGACTAAAGTTCAGAGACTAACACCAAACCTAGGCACTCGTAAAATAAACTTAAACTTATTCAGACTAACTCGAAAGTTCAATTTAACCTTTAAAGGATTAAAAAAAAAATATGTACCTAATTCAATCACTCCACAGGTGGTAATGCCGGAAGAGATCCACAATAGTCTTCCAAAACCATAACATACATTCAATGCTGTTCATAAAATTCACCAATTACGTTTCATTTGCAAAAGCCTGCGTTTGCACATAACGAGCAAAAGAGGATTGCTTTTGGATATGGGGATAGATAGATGGCAGAAAAATAGTCACATTTGATGCACGAAAAACCCTAATAAATCATGAAACAAGGTTTATTAAGTTCAGCAAACTGTGTCTCTCATGTCTTATTTGCAGAAATTGTTGCAAAACATAAACATGTCATGTCAAATCCAAGAGCAAAATGAAGAGGTTTTCAAAAAATGATAAACAAGCTGGTGAAATGTGTTCTACATGATCATCATAGAGTGTAATCGAATCTATGCTTCGTCAACAACGACACCGATCTCACCCTTCTCGAGTAGATCGTAGAAAGCTCTCACTTTCCTCTGCTCATTCCATTGATGCATTTTCCAAAAGCTACCAGCAAAAAGAGCAAGACCCATTCCTGTCAATATCTCCTTGACGACACTCGGTCCTTTTAGCGTGACGTGAGCCACCCTACCAGCAGTCATTTGCTTCTCTAGTTTGAAAACAGAGAAAAATCTGCCGGAGAGATAGAAACCAAGCAATTATAAGAACAAGTAGACCTAACCACACAACATTTTGTACTTTCTTCCATAATATTTACTACCAATACACCATCAAAACACAACATTGTTCTCAACTATTTGCAAGTAAAAGGACAAGTTCAAGATGAAGACTTTCATCCTTAGAAACGAAGCTAAGGAAATTGAGATTCAATGATTTTGGTCCCTATGGGACATGACGAACGAGCGACAATCGAGAACTTTGACAATGGCTGGCCATCTTGTTTACAAACTTCTGTTACCATCTTTATTGCTATTATTATTCTTGTTGTGATAATACTAGTCTTGCCTCTCCTCGCTGTTATGGATTGAATTTCTTGTCCTCCCCTTTCTCTGCTGTATGCCCTCTTTTCCAGTAATATATGCGTTTTTATGCTATTAAGAATAAAAACCTAGAGTAGGGGTCGGCTCACCAATAGAGCGATTATTATCTATAACAAATCAAATCATCCGGAGAAAACGTCTCTTTGGGGAAGTGAGCATATCAGAACCCAAGAAATTCATTCAAACTAAACAACACACCTTCGAAATTTCTCAAATCTGGGCCCCTACAGAATTTGGGAAGAGGAAGACGAAGAAAATGGAAATTAGGTTTTGGCAAGAAACGGGAAACTAAAACAGAAAACCAGTCCCCCTGCGGTCCTCCACAAATCAATTGCAGATCCAAAAAATCCAAGTCGGGAAGAACATAAATCTTCATTCCAACAAATAAGAGATTTCCTTAACGCATTCATTCATTCATTCATTCATCAGCATCCGCAAAATCAGATGGAAATTAAACCATGGAATCACACGCCAAACATCAAAAACAAGAATCAATCAGACGAATAGATCCAGAAGAGAATTAGGGTTTTTACCAGACGAGATCCAAGCGATTGGGTGGCGCCGGATTATAGAAACTGTTCGAGGTCTTCGGCTCGCTGCCTAGGCTTTTTAGGAGCGGAAAAAAAGGCTGTCTTTGATTTGCGTTTTGCAAATAGGGAGAGTGGGGTCCACCGAGAACTCGTCGAGCTTTTTTTGCCGCTGTTTATTTAAAAATATGATTATGAAAAATTAGACTAAATTAATATAAATTTTATTTCTAAAAACTTGGGAAGTAATAAATAAAAAAACAACCAAAGCAAGCATAATTCAACGATAATTAATATATATCTCCAATCAACATGTTGCGAATTAGCTCACGATTTTTAAAAAATATCTAATTGATCGATAAATTTTTACAAGTTTCAAATATATCATTAAATTTTCGAACAATATCATATAGAAATTTGAGATCTGTTATCCTTAAGGAGTGGTATCAAAGCCATGTCGATAAAATCATTGGATGCACTACAAATAAGTAGTGAGTATCGAAATATGTAGTTGCCCTATAGGAGAGACAGACAGTGTGTAGAGTTTTTTGACAAAATATTAGAAGAGAAATTCTTACATCGGAAAGGAGGGGCCTATAGCTAGGGATGTTTAGTTTTCCCGCGAGGATAGGACCTGCAGAGACTTGTCCTAAATGGGGTGAGGAATCCCGTTTAGGTTCCCCACATGGGGGACATTTTTTTCCCATTACCTAACAGGGATGGGAAATGTGTTCCCGTTCCCCGCCCCATCACACTTTTTCTAATATATATACATACTTAAAAAATCATATTATTCTTTCCATATATAGATATACTAATAAAAACATTATTCTATGCACTTAAAAAATCATATTATTCGATATACTAATAAAAATTCTATTCTTCTCCATTCACTCATATATATATATATATATATATATATACACACACACACATGTGAAATGATTAAACTAGGTAAATAAAGTTTTATCACGAGAAACTAAGTAATTAATAAGAAATTTTTTTTTCTTTTTAATTATTTAACTGAGAAATAGTTTTAAAAATTAAAAAAATAGATGGAGAAAAACTCTCCATGGAGAACTCGATGCCCACAAATTCCCCATGGGGAATTCCCACTCCCATCCCCATGAGATTTCGTAGGGATGTGGAATTAAATGGTAGACGGGGACGGGAAAGCTTTCCCCGTCCCCTGATCTCGTGCCCCTTGAGCATTCCTATCTATAGCTTTGAATTTTATTCATCCCAAATTGTTTGAGTGGTATAAAACTTTGAAGAGTGTTTTGTGTGATTGTAGTAATTTTTTATATTGTGGATTTTCTTTTCTCGTGGGTGTTTAGAGTTTTCCACTCGTGTTTCTTTAATTTCATCGTCTTTTTTAATTTATCATTTATTTTCTGTTTATTCTTGTAGTATAAATAAGAAATCTTTTCCTATCATGATGTACTCTGAGAACCGGACTTTGACTTGGATTCTTGAACTTTCGATTTTATTTTGATAGATCTTAACCTATGAGATTTTTTTTAGAAACTAAATATATATTACCCTCTAAATTGTGATCTATAAATATCTTATTTTGTAGGTCTCTAAATTTTAAACACTAAGAACCTACGAGGTAAAACATTAAAAAAAAAAAATTCAAACATTTAAAAAAAAGATTGTTAGACACAACTTTAAAAGATTAAATGTGTAAGTAATAAGAAATATAATGACACATTCCTTACAAATTTAAACAAAAAAGATGAAACAGTTTCTAATGATTTACTGAATAACTATTCAATAAATCAATAACATGTAACAAAACATTACCCCAAACCACTAAGTGTCACATTTTATTGAATAGAAGCATTATTTCTTTCCTTCTTTTTTTCTTTCCCCCTTCCCATGGACACCTATTTATGTAAATATAAAAAGTTAATACAAGAAATAGCTGACACAAACACAATTACAAAGTTCATAATATCCCTAAATACAAAATGTAAACTTGAGGAAGCCATTACACCAAACCTTTTTTTTCTTTTCTTTTTGATAGAACAAATTAGGACACGACAGATTGAACCAAATTGGACCAATTACCGCCATTAAATTAAGCTCATGTTTTCCCAAACTCTTATTTGATTGTATTCTTCCTTAAAACTTTGTGTTGATAATAACCCTAAAGAAACTGCCAAGCTGAAACAGAGAGAATTGGAGTTTCCTTCCAACCAACTATTAGACATTTCCCATTCTTCTCCAAACTGCAAGAATTTCCATAAGCAAATCCCTCAGCCACCAACTTAGCTTGGCTCAAACATGACTCACTGAACTCCATTTCTTCCATTCTAAACCTTGCAAAGAATGCCCTCCACACCTCGATCTTCACGCCCCTCTCAACCCGATCGCTGCCTTCCAACGCAACGACGTTTTCAATCCCTTCACCACAAAACACTTCGATCTTTCTTCTGCTGTCTTCATCTTCTACAATGCAAGTTTCCAAGCAGTCGAAGTATGAGCCAGTGAAGAACAACGATTCGATGAATCGATTCACAAACGAGGATAAGTTATAATTGGCTTCAACCTCGGAGACTACCATTATTGATGGCTTGAGGTTTCGGATTACTCTCATCAGATTTTCCAAACGAGTAGGCCTTGAGATCATGGTTCTTAATGCTAAAGGGGAGTAAATTGCCACCATTTCATCTTCTTCTACTTCAAAGAGTTCTTCTTTTATCTCCATCATATCTGATACCAAAATTGGTTTGAATGAGAAGGGTATGTTTAGAGACTCGGCAACATTTTCCAACCATTTGCCTACCTTCTCTATTAAGTGAAATTTTTCTGATACAACAGCTGTGATCTTAAGAAGCTTAATGGGCAGCTCCTTCAAATCCACAAGTGATTGCATGAAAGCTGCCCAATGAACTCCACTTCTGATTTCGAGATCTATCAAATGGACTTTGCTGATCGGTTTTACATGTTCAAATATAGCTTGCACAGCAGTCAGCTGCATCACTTGCTGAAAAGGAAGCTTCATGCATCCTCTAAGTGCTTCAAGGGTCATCTCCCAATCTTCTTTGGGCTCTTTCATTGCTGCCCTTCCAGTTTCTCTTTCGATTCTTCTCCTAAGCGCTTTGGCAAAGTAGAAAACGAGCCGCTGGACTGCGTTCCCAACAGGGGATGCAGTCCATTCGCAGCGCTGCAGCAGCCTGCTCGCTCGGTCGTATTGCTGGTAGCCTACTTTCTCAGCTGCAGCAAAGAGGACGTGGGCTAGTTCAACGTCTTTAATCTCGTCCTCCGACAGACCGGAGAGAGCAAAATCACAGGGATGCATCGGCATGTAAAAGTCATCATGCCCCTCAGGAAAGAAATGAACGTATCTTGCTCCAGCTACCCTCAATATCTCTTCAGTTGACAACTTTTTGTTTTCCTCACTTGCTTCAATGCCTCTATTGCCAAGTTTTGTCCCCTTCATCCTCCTCTTGAATTTGGCACCATAACTATTTAGCAGCTGCAAAGATTCTAAACATGGATTTGAGACTTGTTTACTGGGGTTGAAACTGATAGAATCTGCAGCCAAGTTTTCCGAGATCTTCGACTTCTCTGGGATTGACTCTGAGATGGTAATATTGTTATTGAACAGTAATTCGTCGAAAATCAGATCATCTGAGTAGGGCTGTTGATAATTTGTCTGATCTCCAATCTTGGGAACGTTCTGTTGGTAAAAGCCAGATTGATCCGCTGATAGAAAGTTGAAATCTCCAAACTCCTCCATTCTAAATGGACAGTCATCTGCTTTGCCTCTGAGCTCAGATTCCGGCTTCTCGTAGCAGCCATTAAAAGGGAAGAAAGCTTCTCCCTGTGAGCCATTGAAATCAAATGGTGTGAAGGAAAAGAAACCATCAGCCATTAAAGAGCAAAAGAAGGAAGCTGAATAGCTGATGAATAAACCTATGCTCAGTGTCACAGCAGAGATTTCTCTAAACAAGACAACTAAAAATCTGCTATAAATCTGTCTTTTGTTCTGGGTTAATTAACAAGATTCCGATATTTCCAAACAAGTCTTAAGGAAAAGGCCAAAATGGTGAGTTTATAAATCAGAGTTTATAAAGAAGTTGGTGAGTTTGAATTGGGCACAACCAATGAACTCAACTCTAGAACCTTTCTTCTTGTCATTTTCCAACAAGACGACCAAATAAATGTTGAAATTTAAGCCATCAAAGAAGACAAAGAACAGACATGTCTTTTTGTTGGCTCTTTTCTTTTTCAGGACGAATACAAAAATTCATAGAAATACATTAATATTATAATCTCTCTGTATTGGAAACCACGATCACCATCTTCTATAGTTGCAGAGAAATTTCATACGAAAGCAAAAATTGGAATACGGTTGACCGCAATAATCATACCAGAATAAACATCAATGAAATATTTGAAAATTTCGGTAAAATTTATCTTTCTGTAATTGCAAATGGAGAGAAATTTACCCAGAAAAGTAAAGGACTCATAGACGGAAGTAAATAATTACATAAATGCTTAATTTCAGACGACTTCGATCCGCATGGATTGGCAAAATTGGGAAGAATTTTCCTCCTTCCTCTTGCGAAGCAAAAACTCGCGAAACCAAACAACGCTTCTCAAAATCTTAACAAATCCGGTTGCGACGATGAGGTAGTAGAGGGCCCAACCGGCGAAATCCGCCATGGTTGGATGCGTAAGAAGCTCCATCATGCTCTCTGCAACAATCGCCGGAGATTCAGCTTCATCTCTCAACCTCCACCACCACAAAGCCCCAAAGCTCACCGCCATGGCCACTCTTCCCCACCAATTCTCCTCCACCGGCGCGCCGAAAATGGTGTCGTCCACCACCGGCTTCACCGCCGATTTCGACCAATGAATCATGGCCGTATGCAGCCCTAGGAAGAACATCCCCCGGCACCACAAACTCCTCCGTAACCCTAAGCTCTCAGCGTCGATTGCAACCGCCACTCCCTCGCCGATTCCCAAGGCCACACCGACCTGTAACGCACACAGAACGAGCCACGCCGCGCTCAGACCGCACGACTTCGCTAGAACAACCGATCTACCAAGCAAGCTGTCGAGAAGAGCGGCAATGGCGATAACGGAAATGAGAGCTAGAAGAATAACTCGGCCTGCGGAAGCGAGAGAAGAGAGAGGAGTAGAAAGAGGAAGAAAAGCGTGGAGATACAGAGAACGATCGAGCCTGCAAAAGAGAAGGAACGAAAGTGGAAGCGAGAGGGAGAGGAGAGTGAGCGTGAGGAGATGAAAGAGGTTCTTGAAATTCTGCAGCCATTTTTGGAACGCCATGGCCATGGAGCTAGAATTTGCAGAAGGAAAATGGGGGAATTGAGAATGTAAATAGGAGAGAAAGAAACGAAGAAGAAGAAGATGAACGTTGAGTGGCGGCCACGTCCGGAGTTTCGAATTGGCTGGCAAATGCCAATTCCGTATAAGATAATTTAATTATATATTACTATATAACATAACAGACGCTCATATTCCTATTTAATTAATTAATCGATGAATTATTTGAGTTTTTTTCCCCTTGAAGATAATTACATATATAATTCAAATCGAAGTGAAATTCAAATGTAAGATAAACATGTCGATAAAAGTAAAAATTTGTTTTGTGGCATTTTTGGAAAAATATAAGTGAAATTTCTTTTTTTTAGTTCAATGGTTGTTGGTTATTAGGTGGGATCATACCCTCGAATTTAATTAGGGATGACGATAAGTGTTTATCAACTAAATTATACCTGGATTGGCTTAATTATCGAGAATTTAAATCTAATTTTAATCTATATCTATTCAGCAAGAAAAGAGAAGGATTTGTGGTATATAACTAACAACAGCATCTACCAAAACATAGTTCAATATATAGGTAATAGGTAAATGCGTTACATAAAAAAGGAAACAAAAAACGTTGATATGCGATTTTTGTTTTAGGTGAAATTAAACAAAAAAAATCGTGTGGGTTTAGGCTTAAAGGTAGACAATGTCATATTATCGTACAATTATAGAGAGCGGTAAAGAAATTTTTAGTATTTTTCCTAAAATCACTTAATTATGGAATACTAAGGAAATTTAAAAAATTGTTTTTAACTCATTATAAATATTTGGAAGATTGAACCACTGACATTTGGGATGATACACTACAAGAAATAAGGTTTTTCCCGACGCTTCAAAACGTCGGGAAATTTTTTTCCCTACGAAATTTTTGCGTCGACAAAAAAGTCGGGAAAAACTACTTTTCCTAACGGAACACAAAAATTCAGGAAAAGTCAACTTTTTCCAACGGAATACAAAACGTTGGGAAATGTTAGTTTTCTCGACTGTATGAAAAATGTTGGGAAAAGTTGACTTTTCCTGACTATGTAGTAGGTGTGTTATTCTTTATCCACTAAGTTACGCTAAGATTGACTCGTCTGTTCGAACTTACCTTCATTTAAAAGTTTAAGAGACCAAAATAGTGTAAATAACCTTGGATTTAAATCTATAATAAATGTCAACTCGAGTATTACATTTTCAACTGGTTAAGATACCAATTTTTGATTAAAAAGTCGTAAGTTCGAATCCTCATATCCACTAGTTCCGCTAAAAAATAAAAGATGGTCACATTCCATGCCTTGACAAATTATATAGATCACTAATTTTAATATTGCATGCATGTGTGTTTTAAAATGCAATATGCAAATGTTTGGTAACATATATAATGATATTAAGGAGAAGGTCAAAGATGTCCCTCTCATCTAATTAATCGAAATTAGCCTGTCATGTGTCAGCCAATAGTCTAATTAATGATTATTTCTTAATCTTAATTCGTTTTATATAAAATTTTGGTTAGAAGTCCACTAATGATTCTCCTCCTATGTAAAATTCCCAACAAATCATGAAATCTTACGCTTCTAAAATTTAATAACAAATATTAATATTTATAGGGTTCCATCTCAAAACTAATTGAGAGGAGTAACCCATGATTATTATAAATCATTGTAAGATCTCTTTCCTTCTCAATGTGGGATCCTTAATAACAAAGACAGTGCAAATGTTGGATTGCTAATGAAAGGAATAACCTCGAGATTATGCATATATCGAATTATTAGAATAAAAAACATAAATAAAGAATGATCAACCATGAATCCAATCTTGATTTTAGCATTATACTTCAATATTGGATTAGATATCCCTCGTCTAAACACACCAGAACTCAAAACTCTATCTGTCACATAGAAAAAGTTAAAATATGTTTAGCGTATTATTAATCCAGTAAGAGTAAATAGATATCCACCTAAATAAAAATCCATACTCGATATTTTAGTTCGCCCGTCAAATTGGCCAATAATAATTATATTAATATATGGTACATAATTTATTATTAGAATATACCAGCAATAGCCTAAAACAAAATGAAATTTTGAAGAAAATCAATGTTTTTAAAAAGTAAGAACACAAGTAATTAATCTATTAGAACGTTGGACTCAACAAGCATGAGAAAGAAATCAAAATATGTACAAAAATTTGAACTTTGCGATTACAGTATGAGTTTAGGCAATAATGCTATTTGAAGGAAGTGTAATCTTGCGACATTAATTGATTTAAACTTGAGAAGATTCAACCTTACAAACTTAATTAACTTTAATGATTACTTCGGCCACAGGAGATTAAACAGGTTACAAAAAAAAAAAAAGGCAAAAAAGCTTGATAAACATTATCAATGATGCATTATTATAAACGTAATAGAATTAATATCCATAATTACATGTATAAATGTATGAAAGTGATCTGGACAATGAAGCTAATTCACGTTCAAATTCAGGTCGACAAGAGTTTTCTTCTGATAGATAGGGATGTTTGAGTAACATATCAGCAGTCCATCTTCGTTTCGAGTCACGATCAAGGCAGCTTGCAAGAAAATCTCTTCCCTCTTTGGATAGTTTTTTTAATACATCAGTCGGTAGTTCCGTCTCATTCACAAGCTTTTTTAGGAGTTGATCATAAGTTCTGCAGCTATTCCATACTGGACTTCCTGTAATCATTTCAATAAAAATGCAACCGAGAGACCAAATATCAAGCGGAGGGCTAATTTTGCCAAAAATAATAGATTCTGGCGACATGTATCTGGCAGTTCCTCTAAACCTCGGCTCGGAGTGCTCCGCCGCTTCATCCTGACCAACGACCCATCTCTTGGAAAGCCCAAAGTCAGCTATCTTCAACTTCATCTTCCCATTAGGTCGAGGGAACGCAAGAATGTTAGCTGGTTTGAGATCAGCATGGACGAAGCCTCGACGATGAATACAAGACAACCCTCTTAGTATCATTCTCAGATACTCCTTCACCTTACTCTCCGTCAACTTCTTTTGTTTTCTTATCAACTCGGCTAAGGTACCTCCACCAGCGTACTCCAATATCAAATAGTAACATACCGAAGTCATCTCGCTTCCAATACACTGAACTATTTCTGAGCATCCCCTTAAGTGTTGTAGAATATCTTTTTCCAACTCCAACGAAGAAGATCTTTCCACAGGAGCTACTTTCACAGCAACATAATCAATAGGTCCAATAGTTGATTTGGCTAAAAATACTTTGCCATAAGAACCTCGACCCAATTCCTTCACTTTAGTCCATCTCTCCATTGAAACACAAACAATGTGCTCTAGCATGCACTGCAAGAAAATGAGTCTATTGCAACGATTTTTAACCGCGACAGCACTTTTCGCAGCAATTCATAAACCGCTAGCAGAATCAATGTTACAATAGGTTCTATATATGTTTTGTCTTTGCCTTTTATCTCTTATCTGTAAATTCAAACTTAAAAAATCAGATGATGTCTTTGTATATAATACCTTCGACTGAGAAAATGGCGGCGCAGCGGCGGTTGTCTTGTGGCGGCCGGCGGCGGAGCTAGAATCCAGGGAGAGTAAAAAATAGCTCTTTTAGTTATTGGAAGCTGGAGGAGTAATTAATGAATGTATCAGAAGGAATATATATATATATGTGTGTGTGTGTCTGTGTGGATTCTGATTTCTTAATTCTAATAGGAAAATAAAACTCTTTTTTCTTTATTTGAAATTTGAACCCATCCATGATTTATCCTTTCTATTTTCAGATAATATTTTTCATTATCTTCTAGTTCAAATTCATATTTTTTCAATTTAAATATCAAATTTTGGTACTATGATTTTATTATTTATTTATAAATTTCAATCGACGTCAGGTATAAACCATCATTAAGGCCTCCAATTTCAAAAGCTTTATTTTTTTTCTCTATCTAATATGTATTAATAATATCATGTATTTATTTGTGTATAATTAATTGTGAATGTAAATTTAGAATTTAAGGTAATTAATTAAACTTAAACTTAAATTATAAATGTTCAGTCAATTTTCAGGGGTTAAATTATAAATTTAATCCTTAAACTTAATTAAATGTTATCTATTTAACTTATTTGTTATTAGAAGTTTATAATAAATCACTGAATTTTCAAAGTTGTATTTTATTTGTGTATTTTAAAATTATTTTAATAAATATCTAAATTTTCAATTTTGTATTAAGTCTGTGTCAATTATTCTAACTAAAAAGTTTGAACCTACTTATCATGTTAAATAAGTTAGATAAAAACATATATTAAATACAAAATTGAAAGTTCGATAATCTACTAAAATTGTTTTAAATCAAATGGACCAGATAAATATAATTTCAAACTATAAAGACTTATTTAAAGCTGATTTTAAAAATGATTTGGAAGAGTTTGATTTGGAATTATGCTACATTAAAAAGGATAAAATAGTGCATAAAAAAGGATAAAATAGAAATCATATTTTCAAAAATTATTAGTATAAATTTTTTTAAAAAAAGCATAATCCAAATAAATCGGAGATAGTGACAAATGAATTAAAATCGACGAGTACCAATTTCAAATAAACAAAAACAAAAAATATAAAATGCATAATAATTTAATAAAATCTTAGTTAATTATTGATTCCTATTAGAAAAATTACAAACTTCATATTCCTCATGAGAAACTGATTTCGTATTCTTCCCATAAAATTTTCACTCAGCGCCACAGAATCCGTACAATGGCGAATTGGATTCGAGTGAAGCCTTTGGGTCAGGGTTCCTATGGCGAAGTGTTCTTAGCCAAACCAACCGCTGATTCTCTCGACTATTTCGCCATCAAAGCAACTCAACTCCCACTCCACCATTGTTCTTCTTTTTCTTCCCCGTTGCGGGAGAAGTGCATTCTCGAATGTTTCATCGGATGCCCAGAAATAGTTCAGTGCTACGGAGGTGAGATCATAATCATGGAAGGAGATTCCTTCGATCTCGCTTCCTTCTTTCTGATAATGGAGTACGCTGCGGGAGGTTCTTTAGCTGACTTGATTAAAAAACGAAAGAAGTTAGCAGAGAATGAGGTGAAGGATTATCTGCGGATGATATTGAGAGGAGTAGCTTGTATTCATGATAAAGGCTTCGTGCATGCTGACCTCAAACCGGGAAACATTCTCGCATTCCCTCAACCTGATGGGAAGATGAAGTTGAAGATAACTGATTTTGGGCTGACGAGAAGATCATGCGAGGAGGAGGAAGCCTATGACGATTATTGTGTCGAGAGAAGGTTTCGAGGAACACCGATATACATGTCGCCTGAATCCGTCTACGGTCAGGTCAAAGCTCCGCTTGATATTTGGTCTGTGGGTTGCATTGCGGTTGAAATAGTTTCGGGAAAGCCGGTCTGGGATGGCTGCCCGGACCAGAAGTTGATGTTGAAGTTGGTGGATAAGATGGAAATACCGAAAATACCCGAAGAGTTTTCGGAGGAAGGGAAGGACTTTGTTGGAAGATGCTTTGATCTAGAACCCGAGAGACGATGGACGGCCGAGATGTTACTCCAACATTCATATCTTAAAGAAGAAAATAAAGATGAAATACAGATGCGATTTTTGCATGGCCATGTTAACAAGTTTAGGTCAGCAATTTAATTTAATTTGTCTTCCACCATTAATTTTACGAACAACAAACGAAATGTAAATTCGATAATTAATAAAATTTTACTAGAGTGCTCAACCAAATATTTTGTGTTCCTCAGTTGGATTGGTTTAGAAAAAAGTTCCATCTTTTCGCTAAATTATAAGTTTATTTGTCATGAAGCGTTGCTTTAAAAAGTTTTAAAGTTGAAGTTAATTAGTTTAACGATTCCATGTGATACCTAAATAGAGGATGCATCAATGAACGGAAGGTGCATTCAAACGAAAGAGTCCTAAGTCCTCTTTAACATATTTGTAAGAACTCTAGCATGATTGGTCCGGAATGTTTTCACACTATTTATTATCTCTATATTTTTTGGGTAACTCAAATCTAACTTTAGACTTTTGAATTTGAACCTAAAAACGGTAATATAATCTTAGACTTTTGAATTTTAACCTATTATATTTTTTCGGTAACTCAAATCTAATCTTAGACTTTTAAATTTGAACCTAGAAACGGTAATCTAACTTTAGACTTTTGAATTTTAATTTGAACCTAGAAACGGTTATCTAACTTTAGACTTTTGAATTTGAACCTATGACCTTATAGAAATAGTATAAATATTTCAACAAATATACATATGTGTATTATTAAACAAAATAAACCGAAATTGATAAAATTAAAGGCTCATTTTGATAACGTTCTAGTTTCTTATTTCTATTTCCTCACTTTCAAGAAAAAAGCTTATTTCTATTTCCTCTTTTTCAATGAAAAAGCTCAATACTCATGGATACAATAACGATAAAATAAAATTTTTATCTATGTTTGATCAATCGAAACAGGAACAAAAAAAACATAACAAAAAATTTGTTTATGTTGATTCCAAAATTTCTATACAATTTTGAGAATGTTAAAAAAAAAAGAAATAAGAAACATAAATAGTTGTGATTAGATTTTAAATAAAATTGAAAACGATAACATTAATAGCTGTGATTAGACTTATAAATAAAATTGAAAACGATAAGATTACCAAACGACTCCTAAATTATCCCATTTGATTTACTTTTCACTGCTTAAGACTTTTAGTTAACAACATAAGAATTTATCCAACCAAAAAAGAAACAAAAAAAAAGTTAGCAGAAACAGAGTCTATTCTTCATTGGTTAAGATGATATGTACCAAGAAAAAGGAGAGATGAGAAAATTTCTGTATGTACTTAAAAATGGCTCAGCATCATAACAAATGGCTATGGGAACTTCCAACACATTCAAAAACATTTCTTCCATCAACGTCTCTGCAAGTTCTCTAGGTTCGAGTTTAAATGTGCAGAGAATTAATGATCAAAATGCAAACAGACCTAACAAGCTAAGAGATTAATGGTAAGAATCTAGCAGGTAGCTTCTGTTAACTGCTCCTGAATCGCTTTGTAACACACGAGACTGCAAAGAGGGAGCTTCGATTTTGAATCTCGATACTTGTATGGATTAGAACACGAGGGACCTGCGCAGTTTTCACGCCGAGGTGGATAGCTGGAGCACACACATTGAAGAAGGGGTTTCAGACAACTGAGAAACAAATTATGTGGTGTTTTATAGTGTTGGAATGAGTCGAAATGGCAGGAAGAAGATAATACCTGCAGGGTTGGGAGTCGAAAAGGCTTGGAAGGCCCATATCGTTTGAAAAGGTCACCACGGTACCGGAAGGACCCATAACCCATCTGATGGTGTTTGATAAGAGCTTCTGAGCATTTGCAGCCTTCTCCTATAAGCATTAAGAAAACAGAATCAAACTGATTATCTTATTATACACTACATGTAACATAAAATTAAAAGTTACATGATTGACCCTTTATGGTACCTGAGCTAGTTCTTCCTGGCGCTTCTTCATTTTATCTTCACGCTTCTTCCGGCTTGAATCTTGACCGAGTATCTTTCTGATCGCGTCAGCCTACAAGATTCATTTGAAAGGAGCTTAATCTAATCAGTAATAATGTACAAGAATATAAATGATTCATATTGCAAATATTATGGTGAAGAGAAAACAAACCTCAGATTCCCTAGCAGCCTTCTCAACTTGCATTCTTCGTCTCTGCGCAGCTTCGGCCTTCTTAAGTTGCTGTTCGACATCGGTAAGCTTCTCTTTTTGCTCTATGAACACAAAAAATACATAAACAATTAAAAAGAGAGGCAGTGAAAATAGAGGAAAGTGAATTTTACAATAAGGTGCAACTCAGCCACCACAAAAGTTTGAGTTAATGAAAATGACAATATGGATATAGTTGCTTACTTCTGGGTGGAGCAGGCGGTAAACCGTTTGGAAATTCAATTAAACTAGCACCTCGAGCAGACGATGCATCTTTGCTAGACTGAAGAGCTCTTTGACGTGTGGTGAGAGTCATTTCTCGCTTACCATCCATCAACACGTCAATAGATTCCTTCCTTTGCTTTTTATGATTAACTTCGACATCACCCTCAGATGCTGAATCTTCTTCTTCCTCATAATCTTTGTCATGCTTTGATGCACCATAATTCTCCATGCTAGAAATGCTAGAAAGTTTCCGCTGCTTCTTGGTTGGTCCTTCACCATCTTCACGGTACCCTACAGAAGCCCTCGACGTTTTGAGCTTCTCCAAATACCGTATTTCCTCATCTTCATCATCGTCATCAAATTCCCCATCAAGAACACGTTTCTTTGAGGCTCTTTTGCTCTTCCGAAGTGACTCTCCATGCTTCCCAGAAGAATTCCTACCAGACACCTTCCCTGTCAAAGGCTCCTCCTTCTCGACACCAAAACCGCCTTTTGAGAAGTCTCTCCATGGAATTCCATGCAATCCACTCCTTTTGTCTGAAGGGGAATGATTTCCATTATAGTTTTCCTGCATTCGGAACACATTAGAGAGGATACTATAATCAGTCTCAACTGTTTCTGTGCAACGCGAGAATTTATATCATTACAACTTAACGTGATAGCACTAACATAAATTTCCATATGAGTAATGGTTATAAGTCGATTGAGTCCTATCAAACAAAAACAAAATGGCAAATTCTCATACCACAGGATTATTGCTTTGGCAAAAGAACGTTGTCATCAAATTTACTATCAATATTATTTATAACTTCATTATTCAGAAACCAACCACATAAACCAAATGGAACATATGCAGAGAGAAAACAAGGAATAAGGGTACTATCGGTTCACCGACTAGCAAAACAGAGGCTAGTACCTGAAAGTTCTGCTTGTGTTGCTGCCTATGAACATCTGAAGGATGAGAGTTCTTCGTTGAACCACTGCCTTTCGATGCACCATTGGGAGGGGACGGGGCTTGAATAGTGCGAGTGACCCCACCAACCTTAAGCTTAACCTTCTTAACCTTGTTATCATTTCCCAATCCTTCAACGAAAAGTCCTTTCTGTCCAGAACTTGAACTTTCGCCACCATACCTTCCACCGTATGGATCAATGCTGCTCGACTCCGATTCGATGCCATCTGACACCTTGCTGGTGCTTCTCCAATTAGCAGGAGCAAGGACACCTTCGCTGCTGCGTTTGTTATCATTAGCACTCCGTCCGGGTTCACTACGGTAATATGAATTAAAACTTCCATCCTTTTTGCTTCTTTTAAGAAATTGTTCACTTTCAGCCCCACTAGCAGACGAGCCTCTAGATACACATTGATTGAGGCTTAATTCTTTTCTTCTAGAATTACCATCACCACCACCATTCTCATCACTGGAGAACTTGACTGCATCATCAGAAGGCGGTGTTGATGATGAAGGTGAAGGATCAAGACCTTCGGCAAATTGCTGTGACTCAAGTCGAGGTCGACGGGAAGTTCGACTCCTTTTCCTCCTCATAGTTGAGGTTCCATAAACCCCCGAAGGGCCAAACTCTTCCATAACAAAATTTTCTCAATCGGTAATAAGACTATAGAACAATAAGCCTTCAAATAACCAAATTACTATAACGGTAGAAGGTTATCTCAGCACCCCTGAAAATAGCCACAAACAGTGAACCTTCAGAAGAAAATCTTGTAAACAACAATAACGACCAAAAGAACTTAAATTGATTACTGTGATGGGAAAAAGGTGATAAATTCACAGAATTCATAAAACACGAATGAGGAAAAAATAATAGTAATAAAAGAAAACATCACATTAACAAACAAGCAACAGAAAACTTTAGAAGGAGAAGAAGAAGAAGAAGAAGAAGGGATAGAGTCCATACAAAAGCAACATTCAGAAGATCAAAACATGAACAAACAAAAAAAAACGATACCGGTACAAAAACAGGACTCAATCCACGATCAATTCCAGCCTCCATAATGATAACACAAAAACAGCCTCAGATTAATGTGATAGGAAAACAATCAATTCCCAACACATCCAAATCAAAAACAATTCCCAGAATTCCCAAACGATTCGCCCATAAAAATCCCCCAAAACATGCATCGTTAGTCCCAAAGAAACAAAACCAAGAGACACCCACCAGACCAAAAACCTCAAAGAACTGGAAAAATCACAAAACCCAGACGCAAAAACCAAAAATAAACAAAAACCCAATACACAAAACAGAGATTACGATTCCATTACCCGGTGAAGAAAGAGCAACAACGCGAAGAAATCGGCCTGCACAGAAACCCATCAGAGATAAGAGAATCGAGGAAGAGGGGGAAGAGATTAGGGGAAAGACAAATCGATAGCTACGAAGCGCCGAAGAAGAAGAAGAGGGGTTGTTAGAGAAGCGGGCTAGGGTTAGAGAAGATTGGGGAAGAAAGAGAGAGAAGAAAGAGAGAGAAAGGGAGAGGGAGTGGTGGAGGTAAAGGAGAGAAGGAGTACTAATAATCTCCTTGTTCACCATTTTTTTGGCTAATTCCACTCCACCCTCAAAACCCAAACCCAAACCCACGCTGTGAAATTTTTCGGGTTTCCCCAATCCCCCACCTTGTCAAATGCGGTCACACGACTCACTGAGCCAACTCGGGGAGACCCATATCTCTCTCTCTCTCTTTCTTTCTTTCTCTTCGTCTTGCCCCGTTCTCTTCTACTTCGACTCGCTCGCTCGCGCTGCAAGTATGTGCGCATGTTAGTATCCTGCGCCGGTTTTTGGCGTATTTTAGCTCCAACGTTCTCATTGGCTACACGTGTGGGATGTCATTGGTCTATTTTTTTGGTTGTGTGACGTAAATGCCCCTTCGCTTTTTGGATAATACGGAAGTGCCACCCTAATTGGTACATATCTTTTTTTTTTTTTTTTGAAATGTGCCTCTTTTGGCAGGTTCCAAGAATCAGGGTCGCCCTTTATTGGAGGATTTTTTTTTTTTTTTGGCCTCACTTTCTAACTCTATTTTTAGGCTAAATATATTTGTGTTGAAACATTATTTTAGTCGTGTATTTTTATTTATACTATCACGTGATTGTTCCATTTTAAAAAATTAAATTTAATGGAGATTTCTATTGCAATTCGTAGATATTTTAGGTGTTGAGTTTTTCTATATTTGTATTAATTTAATAGATTAATTTTCCGAATAAAAATATTATCATTATTTCGATAATCTTCTTTTGAAAAAAAAAAATCGGATGAGTAATGAAAAAAATCACAATGAAGAGAGTTTTTGCCGGTTTTTTCTTCTTCCCAAAAGTACTCTTGTGCTAATTGGATTATTTAATCAACGAAGATATAATGTTCCTAATTTAATCATTTTCTTGATGTATTATATTTTGATCTTGTTAATTTGTGTGATATTAAATCCTTGAATTTGTTATTCTATAGTGAAAAAAAAAGGTAACAGTGAGATGAGGAGGAAATTCTAAAAAAAAAAATTTCTTATTTCATCCATGCGCCTTAACCAATTGAACTAAGTTTGATGATATTAAATTATTATTTTATAACATAAATGGACATGTCACTTGATACCAACAAAATCTATTTCTTTTTAAGTGACACGTACACGTGTTCAAATATGTGACACATCATTTTTTTTTAATATTATTTTACAAAATGACTTAGAATTTTTAATACATTTCATAGTGAAACAAGTCTTGAACTCTTAATCCCATTTTTTACTTTCAATAAAATTGAATACTTTATCTAACTCGAATAATCAGCATGACTTGTTATATCACATTATAAACTTAACCTACCTCATATGCATATATAACTCGTTTGATCACATTCTAAAGACTGTAATGTTAAGCTTCCAAATGTAACCTAAAAAGTAGGTTAAAAAACTTGGATTTATATAATCTAAGTTCATGCAACTTGTTTGGAATTAATAAACTCATACATTATCTCAACTTTATAATCCAAACTCATGAGATCGTTTGGATTCTCTAAGTATTTTTTCAGTATAACTTGAGCATTGATGTGGATGACTCCCCTAGGAAGAAATATGAAGAGAAATTGATCATATATGCATTTTTTGAGTAACTATTTCCACCCTGACCGTGGATGCATCAGAAGCTTCTTGCAATTAAGAGACTTCTGTGAGAATTCAGCTGTAGCGGAAGGCAAACTAGTTTCAAATTCAGAGATGTCAAAGGCAATTCGGTTTGCAGTCCTGGCTTACTCAGCTCGATCCCGAACAAGTCTCAAAGGCCGGTCGGTCTATGCTTTTGGACACTGCATTGCACTCATCTTCCCTGAAACTTCTCTTCTTCTTGTGGCGTTTGGGCATATCTCTAAGCAAGGCTCTTTGAGTATGCTGTCTTCTTCAGGCGGAGAAGGAAGAACGCCAAATTTGAACTGTCAATCAAGTTGCCCCACAAGGAAAAAAAAGAAAATTAAAGTTGATTAGACTCATGAAAGACGCTGATATAGGTATCATTAAACAGGTGGAGCCTTATAGCTGGTGCCTGGTATGTAGATTTCAGTGCCAACTCTGTTAAGTTCGACCACCATTTGTTCGAAATTACAGACAGCGACAGCGTTGACAAGTTCTATACACTAGTCCCAAAAGCATTTCCAAACGAAGTATGGATTGATTTGATAATCTTGCTAATGAAATCTTCACAGAACAAGAGTCTATATGTAAATAAGAACAGAATTAACACTACCCATTGCTCACACCCGAACAAAGTCATGTAACAGGAGTTATATGTTCTACTACGCAGAATGCTGAGATTGGAAGCTTCTACTATCCACACAATGTTATCTAATAGTAAAACAGAAATGTTCAGAAAGTGATGGAATTACCTGACAGCTATAGTCAGTGAAGTTCGGCTCCATTAATAGAGGAACTCCCATTTGATCCTTGAAGAAATTCTACATCAGGATAAGATAATCACGATCGGTTATAATCCAAGTCAAATGAATGTCAAATGCAGATACGAGATAACCCTCATTACTCACACCCAAACAAGATAGATCCCAAATAACCAATAATTTTAGAAAGAGCTTGATATATATATATATATATTTTCATTCATGAGTGTCTAAATTAGCTTGTGCACTACTCGACTAATTTCACTGAACCTACTATATTTTGATTTCCAAAGAATATCATATATTAAATCCTAAGTAAGTGGTCGCCATGATTTGTTCCCTCTAAGCCTTTTTCATTGGCCTCAATGCCTACTAAACAAACCTATGGTGGTTAGAAAGAGCTTGGTATATAGGTCGGCAAGAACAAACCTGAGTTGGAAGCTTGCAGGTGTTGATACAAATTCCTATGCATTTGCTTTCTTCCAAGTACTTACATTTTTCAACAAAGATCTGCATCATAACCACCCAAATGGAAAAAAAACAAGCTTTGACTATTGAGTCATTGACTTGATGTTTGAAAGTCTTAAATATCAGCAACTCACACGTTATCGAATTGAATCATTAATATGGTAATTAATAATTCATACCCCACTTTGGCAAGAGGATCCATCAGGTAATTCAATTGAATTTACCGTACTAGTTCCCATAAGCCATTGACAAGTTAGCGCAGTCACCCTTGCTTTCAACACAGAAAAAAAAGAGAAGCAGTTCGACTATAGATAAAATTCAAACAAAATGAAAAGTAATTGATTCCCAAATAAAAAGAACAAGATTCAAACTATAGATACAGATGAAGATTGAAGACTCAAACTCACCGACCATAATGGCAGCAACTTTGCCACCAGCTATAGGTGATACCAGCATTCGATAAAGTTCCAATAAAAGAGGAGGAAATAATGATGTTAAAATTCGAACCTGCAGCAGTAAGCAGATGTTTAAAACGACATCTACGAAGCCCGCAAGTCTATTATAATTTCCAATCACACTCAGATGTTCGAAAAGTACATAAGAACAAGATGTTCAATCTCTCTACACATCTATTTATCTTAAAAATGAAATACCGACGCTTCCACGGTATCGGAATTGGTTTTGCCCTTCATCGTGAGCCTATTCGCGACTTCCATTAGTCCACCATATCCTGGTTTATCAGAATCCCAGCCCACTTCCTGCAGCGCAACAAAAGAAGTAAATAAAGACGCGCTTCTACAAATCAACACCATCTCTCTGTTTTCTCAGCAACCAAACAAGAAAGTAAAGGAACTACACGGAACAAATTGACAATGCCATAAAAAGTAAACTCTCGAATATAACAACCTGAACCATTTTGCTTCGAAATAGGTTGAGGAAGAAATCATCGAGAATTCCCGGCTTATACTCGGTCTTCGGAGATACTCCATCCTTTATTATCTACGGATTAAAGTACAATAAAGAAGAATATGAACCAGCATTAAGATGAAGCATTATTCATGAATTCAAAAAATGGCGATGCGAAGATCAAAATCTTACTGATTCAGATTGAAGAGCAGAACAGGAGGTGTTAATGGAATGGTTTCGAAGGTGGGATTTAGAGGAGGAGAAGCGCAGAGGAGGCGAAGAGATAGCTGGAGGACGAAGAACAGCCAGAGGCTTCATTTCTCGAACTTGGGAGCAAATATCCAATTTCTGTAATTCTGAAGCATTTTCATAATTTGTCATTGTGACCCCATTTCCTAGAATTTTTACAGGTTAAAATACCTTAATTTTGTTAATTCTGGTTAGTCTGCATTTTTAAGTGATCACACTTTGTTCTCTCTATTTGTAAAATTTTAACAAAATTTATATCCATAATGAAAACAATTTAATATAATATTATAATTACATTTCAAACAAACATATTAAACAAACATATTAAGTGTAATGTCACGTTAAAATTGTGATAGAAAAATTAAATTAAAAATAAAATCAAATGATCAAAATAGTCCATTTTTTAAATATGGGAATTAAAATAAATGAAAGTTTAAAATACATTAATCAAAATAAATTTAAATTGAAAATAGTATTTTAACTATTTTTATATTTATTCATGATAATACATATTTTACATAAATCTTACATGAACCATGTGAACTTCTATATGTTGCATCCCGTATCAAATCTATAGTTGAATGGTGTAATGATTTTTCATCGAATGCAACATAAATTTTGTTGGTTTTATTTGAATTTTAGCGATATTCAATAGTTTTTAAATTAAAGATAAAAAAGTTTTCAAAATCTCAACTTTTACCTATCAAAAGCAATACTTAAATTGGATGAATCTTGAGAACAACTTTTTTAAGATTAAGTGTATTTTTATTAGTCAACTATTATAACTATTATCGTCTCTTTAGAGTGAAATATAACTATTATCGTCTCTTTAGAGTGGAATATCAAATCATAGACCTTTAAAATGACAATAAATGTATTATACACTCAGACTATTCATTACTCATAATGTTTCGTTCAGTTTAATCATAGCTCTTCAAAGCTAAAGAATAAATTTTCACGAGTCATAACACATTTTAGATTCTTCAAAAGTTTAATTCGGTACACAGACTATTCATTATTCATAATGTTCCATGACTATTCATTATTCATAATGTTCCATACAGACTATTCATTATTCATAATGTTCCATGACTATTCATTATTCATAATGTTCCATTCAGTTAAATCACAGCTCTTCGAAACTAAAGAATCAATTTTCACAAGTCATGACACATTTTAAATTCTTCAAAAGTTTAATTATAGCTCGCTAAAACGAAAAGAGCCAATTTGGATCGGTTTGGAGGAAATGGAAAAACTGAATCGGTGCAGAGAAGAAAACCGAACCGAGTTAGTTCAGTTTTCGGTCGGGCCAGTTCTATTAATGGTTTCTGGTCTGGTTTTCGAACTTTAGTCCTGAATAAGTGTTTTGGGTTGAAAAATCTGGCTGATTCAGTTCAAGTCTACTATAATCTCCGATTACATTTAAAAAATGGCATTATTTGTGACAAATTCCAAATAATCAAGGTATGAAAGAAAGTTCTAATAAATCAACTGATATCCATTCTTTCATCCCAAAAAATAAAAAATAAATAAATAAAAGAACCATTCGCCCTGAAAGAGAAGTGAAAAAGAATCTCCCTGCTTGGATTCCAATGGCCACTCAAAAATCCAATAACCAGCAGTATTAACATTCCAAAGTTTAAGAAACAAGTAATATTACCACAAAATCAAGTCCCCAAAAAAAAGCATGCTACACAAAATAAAAAAGAGGGAAAAAAAGGAATTTAATAAGCTCTTATCTCTCCCAGCCCACCCACCAAAGGCTTGAATGAAAATTCCAAGCCACATCTCATCTGAAAAATTATCCCTGCTACAACTGATATTCAGGAGAAATGAGAAGAGGAAAACAATTACTCCAATGTACAATTCAGCCTTTCATATTTTCACTCTAAGAGTTATGTCATTTATCTTAATCGTTGATTTGGGTCGGTAATGCTCATCGGTGTCCACCTCTTCGATCTCCTGAGAAATACAGTGCGGATACATCAATATAAAATGTGATGATGGTCAACATATGATCTTGCAGTAGCAAGTTACCATATCAAGTATAACCAAATAAAATGAAACTGAAAACAGTTTAATTAGGCGCATCAATTCCTAAACGACTTAGAAGCTTTTAGGCGATGTCGAGAAAGTTCTAACAGAAGAGGCTCAGTTATGTTTGACATTTGAATTTGAAAATCTCGCTACACTAAATTCCATTAGAGTGGAAACATATCAGAAGTGCTTCATAACGTATAACAGAAGCCAAAGTTATAATCACCTGTACAACATGTTCTCCCTTGATTACTCGCCCAAAGATGATAAGCTTCTCGCTAAGATCTGGAATTGGAGCAGTTGTAATGAAAATCTCAAATCCTTTGTTCTTAGGTTTTCCCCTCGGAGTCCCGACTAGAAAGGCGTCATGTTTTAAACTGATTGACCATACCATGTGCAATTATCAGATAATATTGAAAATGGAAAAAATGTACGATATCAACCATCAACAATGAATTAAAAAGGCAACAACCTTGCATCAGGTTGACTGTGATGTTTTCCTCCCAGAATCCAATCTTCTGCAACCCCAAGATCTTGGCTATTGCCCACTTGAATTGAGTAGTGTTTTATCACATGGTGAAACAGCATTCCACTAAAACGATTCTTTTGACTGAAAATCCAATATTTCAAAGGATAATGTTTAATTCCACGGGAAACTGTAAAAAAAAAAAATCTAAAAAGTTGCCATGGAAAATTATTAAAATTATAGTTTCGAACAAACCCTATGCAAGGAAAGGGTAATGTTCAAAACGTAAACCCTTTTTCGGGGGGAAGCAAATTGGCAACATTCAATTTGACATGCTTTCCTCCAACCAAACATGGCCAACAAGATCAACATGTAAACCCAAAGCATTCCACTAATCACACTATTAAATCAGAATGAAATGCAGACCCTCCACAGTCCACTGTATAGACAATGGTATATTTCCTACTTATAATGCTCACCATAAATCAATAAATTCATCAACAACTTCGGGGGCACTTTCTTTGTAAAGTTCCACAACTATCGTGCCCTTTGAAGTACTGAAAACCTATTAACAGCGAGAAAACATGACAATGATTATCAATTCACAGGTTCATATGGCAACAGAAAGGAAAGGGGAAAAAAAACTTTTCTTTTTAAAGATAACGCCTAAAGATTTAAGCGGGGGGATAATGGAAAAACTTACAGCATATCCAGGTAGATCTGTTTTTTTTGCATCCAACAGAGAAGCTTCAGTCTGTAAGACAAGTAATAAGCAGATTCATAATGTATAAAACGTAATCATGAAATCATACCAAGCTCTTGAAATATGATGAAAGCCTTATGCTATGCAGATAAATTTGCATTGAGATGTGAAAAATTATATGGAGGGTTATCAGTTATTAGAACGTTGAAAATGAAGAAGAGAATTGTATCTGCTAACAAAGTAACTTAAGAACCATCGAATTAATTTTAAAATGAGAATCAAAATTGACCATACGCACCTCAGAACCTGAAAAACCATTCTCTGATTGTAATTTGGACCTGAATTGAGCACGGAAGAAAAGTTAAGCCAGTAGATTATATTAATACGTAAATTCCATATAGATAGACCAAAAAGTAATCATACAAAAAATTCTGAATTATATTCAAGTCTCTGCCAATGTTAGACATTTAAATCAATAAGGTACAAGTACTGAATTTCTTATAAATTTTATGATAATATGAAGTCGGGAACATAACAGCACAATTACAAACCTATGAGACCAATGTCTGTATGATGCATGCAGGAAAAACACAAACAAAGCGATAATCAAGCTGCATATGACAATTGTTGTAATACTAATCCGTGAAGGCCCTTTCTTCTTTTTGCTTTGCTGAAGCAAAGTTTGCGGCTTGATCCTTGCCATCGAATGGAAGCTTCAGTTTCAAGCTTGAAAGAGTTCCTGCAGTGTACAGAATGCCTAAATCAGCAATCCATAGACATGAGAACATTACTTGACTGAGAGAAGAATATGAGTCCACGGTGCTTCCTAATTGATACAAGTCATTCAAATTCCAAATTTACAGATTCGGTAATACTGTTTCACTTCACAAAATTCTTCCGATCCTGAAGTCGGACATCCATGCAGCACCATCAACGAATCGCAAACTTCACCATATGAAGGTAGGTGGCAGTTGTATTTGAACTTGCAGGTCCATCCGGAACCAAGAAACACTCAATTAACAAGTATTTTGAAAAGGAAAGCAAATCAATAAACTAAAGAAGAAAATGCAATAATTTCTACAAACGAAACACCTCCAATCTAAACACCAGCAATTCTGAACTATCTGACAATAATCAGCTCTAATCAACAAACGAGTTCTGAACTAGGATCGAACAAACAAACCATAAGAGCGGAAGCGAAATCCATCGCAGGATACTAATCCAAGCAAACAGATCAAAGTTAGATTATCCAGATATCTATGCTAAGCCCCAGACAAGAAGATTTTCCCGGCAAAATCAGATGCTGAATTATGCGAGAAACTGTGGGGGATGACTTCCATGAAGCGATACGGATTTCGAGAGTGAAGAATTACCGAAAGTACCTGAAATTTCTTAAAGCGCCGCGAATTTCTCCGCCGAGATAAAAATCTGGCAGTTGGAAAGCTTTCTGAATTGGGTGGCCCTCTTGTTCGAAACAGAGAGAATCTCGAGTTCAAGGTTTTCGTTTGAATTTTTTTTTTTCCCCTTTTTTCCGCTAGAAGAATTGGTGTTAGTACGGCAAATTAAATGGGCCGGGTTCAGTTATCACTTACCACGGGCCCAGCCCAATTTTGATGACTAATTTTCATGGAAATTTGTACTATTTAGAAAAACATTTTCATGACGTTTAAAAAACATCTTGATTATATGTGTCATATAAATTATAATATCTCGTGTTTTTTAAGTGCAGCAATATAGTTGGTAAGGATTCAAACCTACGATCTTTTTTTTGATTGGGATATATGTCTTAATCAATTGAGTTATACTCAAATTAACTGTAATATTGCTCATTTTTAATGACATATTTTACTTATAAATGTTTGAAGAATAGTGATTTTGTCGAGCATCCTTCCATTACCAATTTATGTTTAGGTTTGTCCCATATTCATTTAAATTGCGTAGATTTTCTAGAGGTATGACAAGAAGGGCACGGTTCGAGGATTAATTTCTAATTTTACTTCAACTATTTGTCTGCATCGCATTATTCCATCATTTTCAGGCATCTACAATATATATGTTGAACTTGAATGCCAAGATCTATTTTGATAGTGTATAAGTTATAATGCATAGTGATTGTTCACCAGTCAGGTTCACAACACACTGGTTTTCTATTAAAACGTATCTAATTCCAAATAAAAATATTTAACTAATGTTTCTTGAGGTTGAAATATAAACAACTTTATTCTATTTGATTAAAAAATAATCATTGTTGGTGTAGATATCCACACAATTCATTTTAAACATAGTTGAATTGATTGTAGTTGAAAATTTAAAGTTATTATACATTAATCTCTATTTTCTTGAATGGTATATTTAAACATTTGTCCTTGTAGAAATCTAAAATTCATTTTAAGTATGAAATATCAATGTATTTATGCAATTGTTCTTCCACCAACATCTCAACAATTTTGCAAAGAGAAATTACCCACTCCTTATGATATAGATTAGGGTCATGTATAACATTCAAATTAAGTTAGCTTTCACAATTACCATTATTTAAAAGATAACTAATTTTGTACATACACGTCATTTTTTTGGCAGAATTATTGAGTTATTGAAAATATTTGTTTTTGTCAAAACATTGAAGAGATGTAATTTTTCTTAAAGGAAATACCCTAGTTAATTAATTTACAATGAATTAAAATATGTTGATTTGTTGATAAATGCACGTTAGCTAAAATTCGAGATTAGTTAATAAACTATCTCACTTTATGAATCTCACGAATGAAATTTAAAAAGTTTCAATCTCATCTCCAAATTTTGAATTATGATTTTATACCATCCTTATTTTTATCATTGTTAACCAATCTGAGTGGCTCATTGATCCAAAGAGGTTAGGATAAATTGAAAGAGAACGGGTTCAGACCTCATGATGGCCACCTACCTTAAGGAATTACTTCCGTGTTTCCCCATATCAAATGTTGTGGAGTCAAGTGGCTATATAATATTAGTTAAGGTACACTGACTCGGACACTCACATATATTTAGAAAAAAAAAATCATCATTGGCTATATAATACATGATACATGTTTTTTAACTCAAAAAATTTTCTTCTAAAAAGTCGCTTCTAACATGGCTGCCCCATAAAATTCATGTAATTCCATTTCTTTTTCTTGTAAACGCTATAGTTTCCATCAACAGAGCAGGAAAACTAGGCCCATAAATAACTGCAGAAAGTGGGAAAGTTCTGCAAGTACATCAACAGTGAAGTACAATATTGATCAATGGTACAGCAAACCAAAAGAAAAAAGCACTTCCCACTAAAGGTTGTTGTTGTCCATGGATGTAAGAGCCACATTCTGAGGTCTGAGAACTCTATATTCAACAGCCACATTCTGAGGAGGTCTGAAGAGTCTGTACACAACAAGAATAGATAGGCACAAAGAGATTACTGAGATCAGAAGGGCAAACATACTGGCAGAGCTTCCTGAGGCACCCCCATGTGATGATGATGCCAGTTTTGAGCTACTGGAATAGAAATCCAAGGATGTCCAATCACAGTTAATGGAGTAGTGTCCAGACCCATGCCATGGCTTCCCATCAACAGGATACCAAAATGCGGCTGACATCTTACTTGATCCACCAATGGAAAATTGGGCATCCTGCAGTTTTCAGGTGAAAACAATTTTAAATGTTTGCAAAATCATGTGTTTTGCTTTGGGTGTGTGTAGATGATGCAGGTGTCATTCAGAAACGAAAGAGATCTCACTTGACAGGTGATCGTGGCGGGAATACCCAAGGTGCCGTTGGATAACCATTCTCTGTTTTAGATTTTATGTTATTAAATTTTAAGCTTATAAAAACTTCTGTTTTTAGTTTTATGTTTTTTAAAATAACGAGGCTCCCTAACAATTTCTCTAACATGTTTTTTGACTACCTAAAAGTATATTTTATAAAGCAATATCATCATTATTTTAAAATCTTGGATCTGAAAAACAAAAACAAGTTTTTAAAATACATCGATAGAAGTAGTTTCTATAAGTTTGATTTTCAAAAACAAAAAACAAAAAATAAAATGGTAATCCAACGCGCCTTCAGTACTTGTTTTTAGTTTTCAAATTCTATAAGTTTGATTTTCAAAAACAAAAAACAAAAAATAAAATGGTAATCCAACGCGCTTTCAGTACTTGTTTTTAGTTTTCAAATTTTGGTGGATTTAAAAAATGTTCTTGAAATTTGATTGGAAAACCAAAAAAAACATTAGTAAACAAGTATGATTGTTTAAAACTGAAAACTTGTTCCTCCTTTTTCGATAAATGCTAACCAATAACAACAGAATAAAACTTGGTCCTTGGTAAAATTGGTTCTTTGCAAAGTCTTGAGAAACCAAACAAGTGGGCAACTTTGAGCCATTTCTTTTAGAGTCTAACATTAATAGTCTAAATATCTAAGCATCAGAAAGCATTCTAACCTGTTGAAGGCGATCTGAGGTTCTTAAAGGCCTAGAAAATTCGAAATAATAAGTACCCTTTTGGTTATCTGATGAATATGGACTATCTTCCACCACGAAACCTGCAAAGATTTCTCTCAGTTTGATGCTGAAGATAACGTAGAATTATCTCTAGAGTTGAAATAAAACTTTAGTAGCCATACTAAGATAAAACTCATATATAACAATAAAGATTATTGATGACTACAGTGCTGCATCGGGTTAGTCATGAAAGAGATTATTAAAAAGAAAGGGCGGGTATCACAGCATATTGGTCATTAAAATAGCAACTTTATTGGCTCGTAGTTGAAGTTTATGAACGTAAGGGAGTGAGGGGGAGAATAACTTAGCTTTTAGCGTGAGTACTTGACGTTTGGGACCAACAGTAAATAGTTAATTAGAGTGGCGGGAAGGTTCTTGGGACAAGGAAGTATTTAGTAGTTGGATAATGTGTCAGACAATACTTTTACGGTAGTCTATTCTTGGGTGGATGGGAGAGATAAGGAGCTAGAGGGAGCTCTCTAATTTGCCACCCTAAATTTTCAGAATTGAAAAATTATATAGGTAGGAATCAATTCCTATGTGTTTTTCCGGAAATCTAGCACGGACACTCACGGATATTGGGGGAGGTAGAATGTAGAATTTTAATCCTCCTTGTGAAAATTTTTTGGTCCACCTCTGCCTGGTCATACCTTCCATGTGCGAACTACACAGCTGGTAGTTCATTTGGCACATTCTTGTATGAACTTTATAGTCAAATCAATTGCCTCTCTAACAGACACTATAACATCCTTTCCTTCCAGTCGCACTTTACATTTCAGAGAGCAATAATTAACGTTTCAAAATAAGCATCCAACTTCTTTCGTTTTACAGAGAAGTTATTTAATTACCTGAGTGATGGGAAAAGCTGCTGTGCCACCATGCGCCTTTCCAGTTATTCTGTGCACTAGAATCATTTCCTGAAATTGGAAGATGGTCATCTCTTGCGAGTTCTATGATCATCGGAAACAGTAAACAGATGGCTTCCAGAAATGAGGGATAAAAGAATAGTTTACCAATTCAAATTGAAAATAAGTAACAAAATAATATGAGGATAAAGCATCCTTTTAGATACAAAATTGTCCTTCTTTAACACAAAAGGGCAAGAGAGATTTCCATTGGACTAGCTATAAGTAGAATATTCAACTTTATCCCTAACAATTTTTTAAGAAATATCAGTTCAATTACGCTGAAAAACAGTGAGTTTAATCTTTCTGAGGCAATAAAGCAATATAATAAAGAGACTTGGATGTCTTATTCAAAAGGCTACAAAATACAAATTGGAGATATAGCCAACTAAGGATGTCACAATCAACTGATCAAGTTACTCAAAGTGGAGTTGACAGAAAATCTACTTTAAAAGCAAATAAGTTTAAGGCGCATGGGATCCTACAGACTGTTACTGTTAAATAAAATTAAGTGATAGACAGTAACAACTGCAAATAAATAACATTTGCTTGGCGTAGGATAAATAAAAGTTGGACTCTGTTTTTTTTTTTTTTAACCCAGTCCTCACCTACAATTATGCGAGTAAAGCCATATTTAACCCATCATATCATTAAGTGAATTTAACACCACCCATCATATTTTTCCCTCTATCTGGGTTGTCTTGCGAGGCCTCATTTCTTGACTCTAAGTGACCCAAACACCCTTGAAGGCTCCACGTCTAAGTGGCAATATTAGGACTCGACAAATAAAATGGAATACTACTCCATCAGAACAATATCGCTAGTATGCTCATTGGTAACCTTGTTTATTATCTTTACCAACAGTCCGAATCCAATACTTGCTTGGAGAGAATGAGCTAGCTATGGGTTCGAGATTTATCAGTGTCATTTTCAAAAAGCTCTAATCATATATTCATAATACAATCATACATTCATGGCCCAACTTCTATTTTTTGATAAGAGAGGAAAAAAGAATAATTCCGTAGTTGGGGTTGCATAATCACCTGATGGACCAATTCCATCTAAGTATCTACAATGAGGATTCCAGGCATACAGATCCACCAGATGTCCAAATCTGTTTGCATAAAGGGGTAATTTGATACATCAGCATAGAAGAACTTTGTTTTATTCTTTTTAAAAGTTGTGCAGTAGTGCTGCTTTTTAATAGGTGTGAAGGTAACGAGAAGATGATTTATGCACCTGTCACCTCCATTTCCAACGTCTACTGTGTTGCCACCATACAACCGTCCTGGAATAGCATTTCCAATGGAAAAATGCATAAGATCAACTTCATATCCCTTGCAACTCTTGTTCGTGCAAGTATCTTTTCCTTCCTTACAGCCACCCATCTTAAGAAAAAAAAGGAACCGTTCTCTTAGTTTAAATCTCAAAAGGCGGCAATGGAAAGTGGAAACTGCCAAGTGAAGTCATGAAAAATGGCCTAGTAACTTACATTGTGATAAGTGGCACTCTCACCAATCTGAAACATGAGAGCAACTGATGGGCATTTGGAACTATCACTGCACCAAATAAGCCATAGCCAAACATTTACAATAATGTTTGATTTAACCAAACCATGCTATTCAGTTGCATATCTATAAGAACGAAGATATGCTAAAATTTTATTAATTTGTATGCTGTAATCATGGAAACAATGTTTCGAAAATAGAACCAGACGCAAAATGAGTTTCAAAGAAGTTCTCCATATATTAGGAATTAAAAATAAAAAATGTGGGTACGATAAGTTGTTTCAGATTTAATCTCCATCCAACATGAACATGCGAAAATGATAAATCAAGATCAATCATGATCTCGAGAAAGACTCATTACTCCAATTCAAACTAACCCTTTAGAGTATCGATATTCCCCATCAACCTGCAGCAAGAAGAACACGTCCTTGCCATCGTGTAAAGCCTGAAAACAAATCAAACCCACCATAAGAACGAGAACAAAAATGAAAACCCATCAAACGAAATGCGAAAAAGAGACGAAAAAAAAAGAGAGAAGAAGAAACAAACACCTTAACGGTCATCTTCCCGCCGCTGTATTCTTTATCGTCATCTGGGTCGAGAGCCGGAAGGAGAGAGAACTCGAATCCATCAATGTCCTTCCAGTCATCGGCGTGGCCATCGAGAGTAACGATACCGGGGCGAAATTCGGCGACAACTCCGATCTCGGAGTCGGACTCGCATCTCCACTCACCGGACTCCTGGTGAGATTTGACCGGCCTGATGGGCGCGAAAGCAGAGAGTAACAGCAGTGCGAGAAGGAGAGGAAGCATTTCTTGGCGATGATTATGGGTCTTCTTCTGGGTTGGTTCTGTTGTTTGGGTCTGAGATCTTCGGGTGACCCGGAGATAAAGCAGCGGCAGCCGCTGTTGACTATAAATACCGTCATTTTCTCTTGTGTGTGAGAATTTCACCGCTTTTGGGCAAGGCGTGCTATGCTTTGGTAAGCATTCCCAGGAGCGATCCTCGCGAGAGGGAACCGTCGTTATTCAACCCCCACTTTTTCCTAATTTGCCCTTCCATTTAACTCAATTCCCGGGGCTTTTTCTTTTCCTTCGGTAATACTTAACGACCACCGTTATGTTTCTTTTTGTTTGTTTAATTTTTTTTTTCTTTTACTAAACGAAGCTCGTGTCAGTTATTTTTACTTTTCAATTTTGGTATCTGTAACATTTTTAATGTTAGTTTTGGTCTAAAAGTGATACTTATGTTTTCTTTTATTTTTATCTCATTTATTTCAATCACAATATTATCGTGACATTTTAATCATTTTAAATTTGTATCTAAAATAATATTAAAATGTGTCATATTTTTTAAAAGTCCAGTGAACAAAATGAACATTTTAAAAGTATAATGTCAGTAATATACATTTTGTTAGGTGCAAATATTGAAATAACTCAAAATCTATTAACACCAAAATAGTATATAAAACAAAATTTTTATTAAAGTAAATAAATAGCTGTCGAATTTTAAGTGGTGATTGTCACATATATTTATGTAAACTTATTATAAAAGTCGTAAGAGAGCAACAGCACCAACCTAAATATATTTCAATTAAACATCTATATTTGATAAAAGAAATTTACGTATAAAACTAATATGCTATGGGTGTGATTATAATTAATTAATATTCATATGAGTCACGATGACGTAAATGAATGGTTTTTAGATATAATAATTATGATTGTCAAATTTAATAATGGATTAGTGAATTTAAAACAATTACATTTGTAATTTATATAAGTACATATTTTAACTACCAAAACGAGCTTGATACATATCTCAAGCCAAGAGATTGTAGGTTCGATCTCCACCCCACGTGTTATATTAAACGGAAAAAAAAAAGCATATTTTAACTTTTATCCACAACTGATACTAGCTCCGTGGGCCTGTCTCACCTTAAGCCCATAACTATTATTCTACAACTTTATCTTTATTATTGTTTTTTTTTAACATCTGAATAAGTTGGGTTATTTATGATATGGTTAAGAGTACACACATATTATATCTGAATAAGTTGGGTTATTTATGATAGGGTTAAGAGTGTACACACATATATATATATATTTACCCTATTATTGTTGACGATGCTGTCAAAATAAGGATAATTCAGTAGTAATTGACATATGTATCCTCATATTAAAAAAAAATAAAAAAATATTCCTTTCCTAATTTTGATGTTTTATAGAATATTAAAAACCATTAAAATGTGTAAATATTTATGAAAATAAATATTATCACCGTGAGGGATTTTTTTTAATAATGCTCCATTTGAAACTTATTACAAATATATATCAACTCTCAAACTATTTCAAAAGATAATGGCTTATAAATTGTACGATCTATGCCACCTCACGCTTCCCTAGTTGCATGGCGCAATGTGTTGAGTGTTGATATTATGTTGTAGTGGTTATTTCCTTTTTTTTTTTTAATTCTAGATGACCTGAGTTCAAGTCCCAATTATATTAATGATAAATGTTACCTAATAAAATTTATTTTCTATTCCATTAAAATTTGTCTTCTCTTCTAAAATAAAATAACAATGGATTCTAAAAATAGACAACAATAATTATTATTATAAAAAATATATAATTAATTATTTTTACTTTTAGACTATAATTGTTACATTAATATAATTCATTTCATTTACTTAATTCCTAAAGTAAAATCTATCTTTTTATAAAATAATATTGTTTTATTCATAATTTTTTTTAGAATAATCAATTGTTTCGATAATATAATTTTAATATAAAATTCTATTGAATAAAAATGAAAAAAAGTGATATAATTGAGAGTTGAACTAGGACATCAAGATTAAAAGATACTACTGCGCATAATATTAACATTGTTATTATCTTGCATATATTGTTTCTTGAAGATACGACATGCCATAATTAATAAAAAAGAACATGACATTTGGCACCATGCAACTAGGAAAGCGTGAGGTGGTATAGGTCAAGACGACCTACGATTTCCAAAACATTATTTTTTAAAATAGTTCCGGAATTGATATATATTTGTAATAAGTTTTCAATGAAGCATTATTAAAGAAAAACAAATCCTCCTCGTGAGAGCAAAACAAATATAAGAAATCTTCTGTTTTTTCGTAATACAAATAAATCTTCGGTTTACACCAAAAAAAAAAAAATCTTCTGTTTTGTGTCCCATACTCAAATTTCGAACTTTTAGTTTGGCAATTTAAATAAACAAACCAAAATAATTAAATCTATCAAACAAAAACAATTCGATTCATAAAAGTTCTCACAAAATTGGAAGTCGATAATATATTATACATAAAGTTAAATGTTAAATTATTTACCACACAAAATTTAAAATTCAACAATACATTATATACATTGTGCTAACATGGGTACACATCATGATTAAATACATATCAACATTAAAAATACGTAGTATTTGTCGAGGTCGTTAACTTTCACACCTTGCATTTGTCTTCCAAAAAATACTTTATTAACATAATAGATAAGATGTTTAAATACTACTATAGTCCTATTTTTTAATTTGGTTCATTTTAGTATATGAATTTATGTATAATTTTAAAATAATTTGAAAAAAACAATAAAGAGAAAGTTAAACTGATTATCAACATGTTTTTAGAAAACTCAAAGCTAAAAAAAACTTCATGTATATAAATTTATGACTACATTTCTAAATGTTTAACGAGTAAAGTGGCGTACTAAAATTTGAGACAATAATGAAAAATTAAATAGACTAAAATGATCACTTTCTTTTTTAATAGTACAATGATAATGATAAAAAAATGAACGTTTTAAAATTATAAAAATGTAAAAATTATATACACATATTTTTGAATACCTCCCTGTATATATGTTTTTTTTAGTGGGAACCAAAATGAAACTTTTTTCTTTTATAGTAAAAAAAGCACTTCATTAATTGAAAACTGCCGAAGGTGAACAATGCTGAGAGAGTATGAGAGGATCCGAAAATGATGCTTAAACCTATATAATATATAAAATTCAAGGAATAAGATATAATTTTACCAATATCGTAATTTAACCTAAATATAAAGAGTATTAAAGTGAGTCTAGTGGAACGACGACATATATCTCAAATTAAGGGGTCATGAGTTTAATCTTCCACCTCTACACCTGTTGTACAGAAAAAAAAACATAAATCTCAAACAAATTAAGGGGTCGTGAGTTTGATATTCCACCTCTACACCTGTTGTATAGAAAAAAAAACCTAAATCTCAAATTAAGGGGTCGTGAGTTTGATCTTTCACCTCTACACATGCGTAAAGAAAAAAAAAACCTAAATATAAAATATGAAATTGAAGTTTTATAACGGCAGAAAATAAATTATATGCTTAGCCGAAATTAAGGAAGAAAAAGAAAAAACAAAAATAATTGGATCAAAGTGAAGGAAACCACATGGTGACATTTTCGACTGAGCATATTCTTAATTCCGAAAACCATAAACCCTGTCACCACTCACCGCAAGGCCTCGAGTCTCTCTCTCGAAGGTCACTTCTTCTTTCCTTTTCGTTTTTCATGCGAGTCACCAGATCTGTTCTTCTCGGCCTGACAGTAGCGTTGAGTTTCAATCTTTCGTAAAATGGCGATCAAAGCAGCTGCAATATGCTTTGCGATTTTAATCTATTCAATTTCAGTGGCTTCCGCCGATTCAATCCACGGTTGTGGCGGATTCGTCGAGGTAAAGATCTCTGCTTGTCTGACTTGTTAGCTACGGTCAATCAGAGAATTCGCGGGAGATTTACTGGGAGCTTATAGTGTTGACTGATGTAGGCTTCGAGTGAGAATAATTGAGTATGAACTTTGAAGTATCTTAGTAATATTGAGCTTGTTGATGGAGCTCCTGATCTGGGTTTGTGATGAATTTTGATGGGTATGCTCAGGAGTTGAAGTATTGATTGGGCCTCGTGGGTTTCTAGTATTGGATTTATGGAAGCGTTTATTTTCGTTCTTCTCTGTTGTATCTTACTTAAGATCTTCTATGCTGCAGACAAGTTCGTCTCTGATCAAGTCCAGGAAGTCGAATGACAAAAAGTTGGATTATTCTCATATCACGGCATGTACCACCTTTTCGTGTCTCTTTAAATATAATTTCAGCTCGACAATCATTTCTGGCTAGAAATTTATGCTATTTGATACCCTGAAATTAGAATCTCCAATAAGGTCCAGGAAGCCGAATGACAGAAAGTTGGATATACTTAATTTTATGTTTATATCCAAATATCTGCTCACGCAACATTGTGAACTCGAGATTTATTATTGTTCCTGATAATGTAGGTCGAGCTTCGAACAGTGGATGGATTAGTGAAGGACAGAACTCAATGTTCTCCTAACGGCTACTACTTCATTCCGGTGTATGACAAGGTAATTTTTCGTTCAAATGATAATGTAGATATAAACATAATTCTTATGAAAGGCTGGAATGGAACACTACTTTTCCTTTGGCCTATAGTGCTAGCTATAGTACTATTGGATGGATTCATCTTCATTCCTCAGGCATCTTCAGACACACGGAGGATATCAAAAGTATATATATATTTCAAATTTTATCAAGGTTACCAAACAAAGTAATCCAGTACTGTCGACCAATCTTAGGTGTGTAATATGAATCTTATCCACAGCAAGGGATTTGTTTCTGGGGGGATGCTTGGGATGAAATGAGTCCTTCATCTCAAAATTTTCTAATAAAATGGACAATTGTTTTGATAGAAAACACACATATCATTGGTGTAATGAAATATTAGAAAACAGGAAGCCAATATTTTTGTTAAAGTATTAATGGGAATATATTGGGAATGCTATAAGGATATTAGGATTGGAATAATGGTAATAGGTTTGTTGGATTAGATATTAATAGTGACATGATAGGAATTAGTTTGTTGGATTATAAATAGAGGAAGTTTGGGAGAGGCATAATTTATCTCCATATTTTAAGAATTGGTCGAGATAGCCCTCTTGAAATGCTATTGTTATTGTATTTCTCTTTGATATTGCAATATAGTTATGGTTTATTTTCTTATAATGGGGATCCTAACACTTACACATCTGCGTCGACCAATATCCTCATGTCCACTATTTTTTTACTCCTCGTCTCTTTCCTTTCTTGTTCTTTTTTGTTGCTGTTGCTTTTTTATTTTTTTTTGGTATTGATCACTTCTGTTTACAGGGTTCCTTTGTAATTACGATAAATGGACCAGAAGGGTGGTCTTGGGACCCAGATAAGGTTAATTACTTGCCACTTTGCTATATGGTTCATATATTACTATTAAGCACTTCAAATTTTCTTCACTTTGATATATGGTTCATCTGTTTTAAATATTGACTTTCATCGAGTTCCATCATGGACAAAAATTTTTAGGTTCCTGTTCTTGTCGATGACACAGGCTGCAATGGGAATGAAGACATAAATTTTCGTTTCACAGGGTTTGTTTGTTTTTTTTTTTTTTTTGAGTTTTTCCACACAACTTTATATAACTTGGTGCATCTAATTGTATTTAATAAATTCTACTTTTGAAAATCTTTTACTGCAGGTTTACATTATCGGGTAGAGTTACAGGGGCTGTTGGTGGAGAGAGCTGTTCAAATTTGAATGGTGGTCCTGCAAATGTTAATGTTGAGCTTTTGTCTCCTAGTGATGATGTTGTATCCTCGGCATTAACTTCGTATGAAGGGAATTACGTCTTCTCAAATATTATTCCAGGTTTGAAGTATTTATTTAATTGGCTTAGAAAGTTGTTACAATTCGATCTTAGAAAGTTGAATGGAGTTTCCTCGTATTTTGTAATTTCATACCATCAATGAAATTGTTTCTTATCAATAAACTATAGAAACATGTATACAATTTACACCATGAAGTAGAAAAAAAAAGCATAAAGAAGGGATGAAAAGTTTGCTCTTTATATTTGAAATGCTACGATTTCTTTCAAGCCAAGTCATCCAGTAAAAAGCTTGAACAATGTGTTGCTAAATATGCTTATTTTCCTTTCTAAACGGATGACCCAAGAGAGAGACAGATAGTAAGAGAGTTGGGTTGTTGGGAAGTGCCACGGACCAATTGAACAAGGATAAGAGGACTCTCCAGAAATCATATGCACAGTGACATGTGAGGAATAAGTGGCTTTGAGATTCCACATTCTTTTGCAAATGACACACCATTGGGGGGATGTTTTAATGTTTCCATCTTCTAGTTGGTCTAGCCTTTCCAAAATGTTTTGTAACAACTCCATTTATTCCCTTATGTTCAATTAGAAATCCTTTTTGTAATCCTTCTGCTTGGCTTTGCCTTCCTTCCATATATTTCTTTTTATCAATGAAATCTTCATAATTCTTAAAGCAAAATTTCTAATTCTGCCAAGATGGAAACATTGATTATGAAGATGATTTTGAAAGAGAGATTCCTTAAAAAGTCAAGCTATTTCCATGGTCTCTAGCCTATATGAATCAGCACTCAAGAGGGAATCAGCATCAACCTCTTCTCTCCTCAAATTTTCATAAACCCCTAAATGGGAAGCAAACTATAGACCACAACCACATGTTTATTCATTGCGGCCTCGCTAAAAGCTGCTATGATCTTTTATGTTCAGAGTTTGGGATGGTCTGGTGCAGTCTGAAAGACACTTATACCTTGCTTCTGGAAGTTCTAGGGGGATGGTGGTTGAAAGGTTAACCTAAAGTGCTAAGAAGATTTTTTTTCCCAAAGCCACTTTATGTCTCCTTTAGGTGGAGAGGATCAATAATATCTATTAGGATACACATGGCGTTTTGTATTTTTTGGTTTTGGACTGGCTATATGTAGTCTCAAGTTGGAGCACTTCTTTACATAGGGTTTTTGTAACTATTCCATCTTTCTTATTAATGTAGATTGGGGCTGTTTCTCCTAAATTCCCTTTAGGAGGCTGGAAGATGTCTTATCCCCCTGCCCTCTCTTTTTTGTATCAATTGATTTGATTTCAATTGCATCGTTCTGTTTCATATCATCCACAAAAGAGAAAAACAACTTCTAATAGATTTTTTGTTTAAAAGGCTGAATGCCTTATCCTGCTTAATAATCTAAATGTAGTATCTCTATCTGCATTATATTGGACCCCCAGATTGTGATATTTTCCCCATTAGATCATATTCCTTTAAAAATGATCGCCAGACTTTTTGGTGCATTAGATTTCTGTTTAGCATGTGCATTTGCTGGTGCAGGGAGATATAACTTACGTGCTTCACACCCCGACTTAAAAGTGGAAGCTAGAGGTTCCACAGAGGTTTGGTGCTTTTCACCCCTTGCCTCCTAAATCAATTTTGCTTTAAGTTTACCTTGCCTCCTCTATTAGTGATTTTCATTTTCACTGTGAGTCACTTGCCCCTATTTTCCTATTCCACAACACATTTTAATATGATATTAACAGGATTTTGATTTGTGGGTCATTTATTATGAGGGATATTTTATGCAGGTGGAATTGGGCTTTGGAAACAGTATTGTCAATGATATCTTTTATGTCCCGGGTTATGATGTTCGTGGTTTTGTTGTTGCTCAGGTAAACAATCCTTTGGGAAACAACACCCACAGTGGTTCCTCCATTCTTCTCTAAAAATTTTACTCTCTTCCATGAAAGTTCTTAATTTGATTGAGATCATTGTGACCAGAACACAATTGAATCATAACCTTAACATGTCGTCTTTTGGGAAAAATTTTCAGAAGCCAGTAAGTCTGTGTTTTTGTTTTGGTAGGGAAACCCAATATTGGGAGTTCATTTTTATTTATTCTCAGACGATGTCATAGAGGTTGATTGTCCACAAGGTCCTGGTAATGCTCCTGGACAAAGAAAAGCTCTATGTCATGCTGTATCTGATGCTGATGGGATGTTTATATTCCAAGCAATACCTTGCGGTAATTATCTATTTGATAGTTATTAACGTTCTTCTGTGGAGTTGATAGTGGTGCTTGTTCCTCTGTACTATTATTGCAGTGGCTAATTGTAAGAAGTTTAGTGTATGTTTATTGTTTTTAACCTTTTCTTTTGATGAAATTTAAATTTATTTTTCTGAGTTTTGGTTTAAACTTTTGCCAATCTTAAAAGTATTATTCTTTTGGTTGAATTTACAACAAATATCAGCAGCTGCATCTTTCACTTTACTAATCTTAATTGGTTAATATTCCCACAGGTCGTTATGAGGTTTTGCCATACTACAAGGGTGAAAATACTATTTTTGATGTTTCACCTAGCATCATCGCCGTGAATGTTGAGCATCAACATATCACAATTTCTCAAAAATTTCAGGTACTGTTTGTTATTTCCTCTGTGTACTGTCGTCTGTTTATTGAATTTGGATTAAAGCTAGTTTTTTGATCTGACATGATCCCTATGTTATGCTATCATAGTTTCTTGTCTTAGCTTGTTCACTGTATTTATTTCTACTTAATAATTCGAACAGGGAAAAAATGTCTTTATGAAAATTATTTTTATAAAAGTTAAAGTATTCAGCTTAACCACTTGTCTTGGAGAAAAGTTTAAAGCTTTGTCGTATAACCTTAAAGTATTCATACAAGTCGATTTCTATGTTCTAGTCTACATGGACTTGAAAGTAGGTGAAACTAAGGCCAAAGCCATTAATTTAGTCTTTTGCATTTCCTTATGCCTATTATTTTTATTTTTTTTTGTTAAGGTTTAAATTCTATTTATGTGTTTGGACTTTTGCACTTATTCTAGTTTTGACCCTTAAACTTCCGGAAACATCCATTTTGGTAGAAATTTTAGCTCCTGTTTCCAAACATGATACTAGACCCAATGCATGTGGTTTTATATTTCAGGGCCTCGTGGTTCTATGGAAAACTTTTTCTAAATGAAATATGAAAATTTCTAAGCAAGATTTAGGACAAAATGAAATATTTGGTAATATGAGGACCAAATTAAACAAATATAAAAGTTGAAGGAAGAAAATAGGATTTAAAGTTGAACTTTATGATATTATCATAAACTTAATTACCCTAGGAATATCCTTGTCATTCAGGGTGAATTTTGTACTTCACTCCTTTTTCCCCTCCAAAATGTTCCAGTGATTGATTTCTAAAGCTATATGCAGAAAAGGTGTATTTTTTTGTGCAGGTTTGAGATTTTATTTTATTCTACGTCCTTGATTGTTATCGTTCTCATGTATGTCACACAAGTGTGAACTTAAATTTTATTCATCTTCCTTTTTGTCATTTTTTGTTATTATCCTCCTCCCTTCTTATCCTCACATTGTTGGTAGCATCTTTGCATACCCTTTTCTCATCTTTAATCATTTTTGTTACAATTTTCTCATCTTTAATCATGTTCCTTCTTGAAGCAGTTGCTTTTGAGTGAAATAATTTGAACTTACACGTATAGTTTTTATTTTTTATTTTTTCTCTCTCGATGGATGGGCTTGGGCTTTCTTGCTTTTGATGGATGAAGTTATCACGTACAATTGTAACTTAATTAGTATTTAGTTGGTTTGATTTAAAAAAAAAGCAAATGTTTATTCCTGATTCTTGCTGGTTTGCTTAGGTTACTGGATTTTCTGTTGGGGGACGTGTTGTTGATGCAAATGATGCAGGAGTTGAAGGTGTTAAAATTATAGTAGATGGTCATGAAAGAGCTGTCACTGACAAGCAAGGGTTTTACAAGCTTGACCAGGTATAATATCTTGTTACACGTCTTGCTATTTCTTTGACTAATAAAGAAAAATACAAGTTGTACTTCACGAGAATTGAGTTATTATTTTGTGCATGCTAGAATTCCTATGAGAACCATTGAAAGAAATGGTTAGTGGCAAAGCAATTCTTTCTGGTCATGAAGTTTTTACTTTTATTGCTGCTTTTATTGCTGTTATTTTAACTTAATAGCTGGTTAGGTTTTATTACTTACCTGCCAAGCTCGTTGTAGCCATAACTTATAAATCTATTTGAAAGGTTCCAAGTTTTAAACATTAGGATAAATACATAATCTCATCTTCAATTTATATATCTAAGATTAGGGTTCACTTATTGAGTAAGCATGACTATGAACCACGTGGAAAATGACAATATATCTAAGATTAGGTGGAGAACTTAGTAGCGCTGACCCTTCGCCCTTCCTTGGACTAATACACCTATCTGAGCTCATATATGAAGTTGACTCTTGGGTTTGAAATGGGGGGTTGGGTTGCTCCAAGAAGTGGGGTGTGGACACACGTATAGATTACAAGTGATATTTACAAGAATGGCGAGGAGGCAAACGATACCCAACGATATTTAGAGATAGATGCACCCATCGGGCATGGACAATCATTCTGGTCCCAAGGAGGTGGCAGCTATTCTCAAGAATAAAAGAAAATCTGAACACTAGATGGCTAGTAGCTTTTCTGTAGAATTTTTCCTTCATTATTAAAATATCTGAAGGTCTTCTAACTCTTCCACAGATTAATCTATTGGCTACTCTGAAAAAGGGTGCTGACTTTTTTTGACAATATTAAAGAACTTTATGAGGAAGAGGAGGACTTTGCTTTAATATGGTCAGGTTACCTTCAACGTGAATATCCTGCCAGCTATTTGATTATCAATGGTCTTATATAGTTATATCCATTATTCCATCAAATTAGAGGCAAAACATCTATTCGCTCCATGGCATAAGTTGGAGGTCAAATGCCTGAAAGATAATTGTAAAGTCTTGTTAGAGTTGAATAGTAGATATATTTTTTTAATTATTTTTTAAAATAATTTGATGAGAAACAGTTTCGTTAATGGTATGAAATTACAAAAATCTCAAAACCATGGGAGTTACAAAAGACTTCTCCAATTGGCATTAAGTGATAAAAAACTATAGTGATGGAAAAGTGGGAAGGATTTACACCAAGTAATAGCCAAACAAACTATAGCATAAAAAAACCTAGCATAAGTGATTTCCTTCTCAAGGAAGATTCTGCGATTCCTTTCCATCTAAATGTTCCCAAAAAAAAAAGCTCCGGCAAAGTTCATCCATAGAACTGATGAGCGTGAGAGCGATACATTTTGTCTTTTGGTTTTAAACTTCTAAGAGCTTTTAAGACAAGAAGTTCATTTTAGGTTTTTTCTTTTTTTCTTTTTGAACAAAAAACGAACTTTTCATTGATGAAATGAAAAAGAACAAAAATTTTAGGTTTTTTCTTAATTGTGGATTTTCTTAAAATTATTATTAAAAATTAAAAATTAGTTTTTCCATTATTGTACTTTATATATTCTTGATGGTTATGACCATTATTTTATGTGTCGTTCTTCTGATCAATTCCTTTCTTCCTTTTAATGTTTTAGGTAACTTCTAATCATTATACAATTGAAGCTAGAAAGGAGCACTTCAAATTCAACAAATTGGAGAACTATTTGGTATGGTATCAATTAAAAAATTCTTTTATTTTTGGACAAGAAACTAGAGAATTTTAGTATCATTTAAAAAATATCTTCATGCTTTTGCTTCGAAGCCTAAGTGATATTATTCTTGCTGAGACACTGGAAGTATATTTTATATTAATTTCTATGTAGGAATTAGTAGTCTTCAATTCAATACAAAGGAAGTGTTATTTTCTTGTCCTTTCTTATTCTAACTTTCTTTCCACATTCAGGTACTGCCAAACATGATTTCTGTCGCTGATATTAAAGCAACTTTTTATGAGGTCTGTGGCTTTGTTCAGACTATTGGTGATGGTTACAAGACCAAGGTAGAAGTTTACATCCTTTAATCTCTCTTTGTAAATATACTTTGCATGTCAAATGATTTGTTTCCGTAATATGTTCTAAACTTTAGGTAGCGTTGACTCATGGACCAGAAAATGTTAAGCCTCAAGTCAAACGAACAGATGAAAATGGCAATTTCTGTTTCGAGGTATGTTATGCTGAAGTAATGGGAATAATTTATTCGTTGCTCCAATTACCTAAAGTTGGAAGGAGATTAACAGATGTGGCGAAGAGGCATTGGAATATTTGCAGTGTTTGATTTCTTATTAGGTGAATGGAAGATTAACAAATGTCTGTATGCTCACTATTTGCTGTGTTTTGAATTGAATTTAAAATTTCAGGTTACTATCCGAGTTAATAGTTCTTTTGGATTGGAGCCCGTTTCTTTAAGGGTTCCCTTTTGCAGGGCTGTTTTTGTTCGGCCTCCGTTTTTTGTATCTGTTTTTTGTATCTATTTTTCATTTCTCTCGATGAAAGTGATGTTTCTTTTAAAAAAAAAAAATCCGAGTTAATAGTTCTGGCCTGTGTTTTCATATGGCCTCCTTTTGGTTGAAACTTTCATCTACTAAGATATAACAGGGACAGGGTGATTGATCACAAACTGAGAGGGGGCATTGGTGTTGATAATCTAAAAGAGGGAAATATAGCTTGAGTGTCTAAATGGGTGCGCAGATTTTTACATTTGAAAAAGAGTCATCGTGGTACGAGGGGTGATTCTCTAGTAAATATGAATGCGGGTTGGACATTTGCAGATGGTTTTTGGAAACTTATAATAGGAAAGGAAAGAGTGTCAATGGAAGTTCATAGTAAAGTGAGACAGAACTTCTGAAGATTACTTGACTATAAATGTTGGCAATGGAAGAAATTTGAGCTTCTGGAATCTGTGTATTGACTCCTTCCAAGACTCTTTCAAATTTCTACCAACAAATAGGGAAAAGTAGCCGATTTTTGGTATGTGAACGCCCTTCATTGGAACCTCAACAATTGAAAACGATGAGTTCGCCAAACTCCTTATTCCGGAAAATAAAAAAATAAGCAACTCTGCAAGTCATATAGCTTGGATTTTCTGGTTCATATTTTTGTAAGTCATCTTTCTAGCAAGTCCAGTAGAATAAGTCTATGTTTAAATTAAGAAAATTAACACTTAAGTAATATAATACCAGTTATTCATCAGAAACTCTATAGGCATGTTTGCTCTATGGGACTCCGAGACCTTTTGCTGGCACTTGATGCAAGAAAGAACTAACACAGCTGATACCATTCAGAGAAAACACCCTAATAATTGCCGCTTTCTAAACTTCTCTGTGTCTGGAAAAGATGGAGAAACCCAAAGCCATTGAGAATATACAGTGCTCCATTTTACTTATCGTCTTCCCTTCTAGAAAACTTCAACTTAGGCTAGAATTTCCCATAGTCGGGCTATGGCTTTGCAGTAATTTCTGGAGGCCATTCCTTTTCAAGGAAACAAAGGTGCTTGGAAGAAGGAATCATGTGGGAGGTTTGGATAGAAAGAAGCAATAGAAATTTTCAGGATACTTACAAAGATAGCTAGAGAGTCGATGATTTGATTGTGGAAAATTTTGGAGGTGCCTTGCTTAGAGGAAAGGCAAATATCTTATGGAGTTGTGCAGCCCATGCTCATTTGTGGATGATTTGGAAAGAAAGGAATAGTAGACTATTTTAAGAAAAACATAAGCAGGTGGATTCTTTTTGTGAAAATGTACAGTACAATTCTTTGTGGTGGTGAACAAATAACAAGAAATTCTTTGGTAACTATATCTTTACTATGATTATAAGTTATTATAAGTGATTGGAAAGCTTTTATTACTTAGTGCTAGAGAAAGGGTGATCTCCCCCATTTACCCCTAGGCTGTTTCCTCTTTTTGGTGATTAATAGATCTCTATTTACGAGTTTCTTATCCAAAAAAATAAATCTCAGTTTATTATAAAAAAAAAAGATAGCTAAAGAATGTTGGGAGGGTCAATTTTTCTTTTTCTTTCTATTTTTTTAAAAATAAAAAGAAACAGAATTTATTCAAAACTTTTGCATTCCCCTTAACTTTGACAGGTTGACTTCATGATACCCAATGAGCTATTGGGTTATTTTGTTGACACTAGGTCATTTTAAAGAAACCACATCAAGTTTCAATCCAAGCATGTTATAAAAAGGAAAAAAAAAAGAAAGAGGTTTTCTTGGTTTGAGAAGGTAAAGAAGAAAATAAAGAGTTGCCAGAAAAAGGAATTGATAACTTACACATACTGCTACTGTTTTTTGTTTTGTTTTGTTTTTTTTTCCTTTTAATGAGAAACCGAAGAAATTAAACTTCACAACAAAAGAAAAAACTCCACAATAATATATAATGGGGATAAGATACCATTATACCAGTGTTTTCGAGGCGCAAGGCGCACCTCAAGGCGACAAGCCCTTTGATCGCCTTGAGGTGAGAGGCGATACAAAGGCGACGCCAGAGTGAAGCGAGGCGCACCTTAATAAATAAATAAAAATTATATATATAGTGCATAAATTTATATAGTAAACATAGTTTAAAAAATAAATACCAAAATAGTGTCATAGTAAATGTCAACAAGATACATAAAACAACCAAATGCAATAAGTTTAGTCAGAGACGGGAGCGGCGACGGTGATGATCGGAGACGGGAGTGGGCGATGGCCAAAGATTGAGGGTGGTGAAGGTGAATGTCGAGAGGCAGAGAGAATGGTTAGGGTTTGTGGACTGA